GAACACTTTGCCGTTTATAATAACTAACCTGAAATGCGCTGTAGTTTTGCCTCTTTCCACCATTTCTCTGGTTATCCCTGTTTCTCTCCATGGCTTTAAATCCTCGTGGATCCATTTGAAGTAATTAGGACAGGACCGGTTCGAATCGGTTAGGGTTTGATTATAACCGACTTGAGGTGTTTGTGAGCAAGAACCGGACCGGTTTTGATCCAAGAAACTTGTGCAATTTACTGAGATTCCGGTTTTCTGCGTTGATTTCTTCTCTGGTACATGTACCGGGACCGGTTCTGTTGTCATTATTGTCGGTTGATTAAATGATTTTGTCTATGGTAAGCAAAAGAAGTTGTATTAACTTTGTTTTTATCGTTGAACAAATATCTGACATTAATTATGCAATGAACAGAAGAATACTTTACCTTGTTAAGCCATAGAGGTGTTCTTGAGCAAGAACCGGACTGGTTTTGATTGAACAAACTTGTGCAATTTACCAATACTTCGGTTTTCTGCGGTGGTTCTAGCTCCGGTGCTGGGTTTGTTGCTACTAACGTCGGTTGATCAAACTGTTTCGTCGTCTTTGATAAACAAAAAAAAATGTATATATTTACTTAATTTTTATTTTCATGTTAATGTAATTTATATAGTGAAAGAAAGCTTAACTGATTACCTTGTTAAGCCATAGAGAAGAAGTGACGGCAATACCAGCGGCGATAAGAAAGAGGAGAAGCGTCAAGGTGGCCACGTGGAGTTTTCCGTTCACCGGACAGTAAGTTTTCAAGTCGGAGATTTGAGAAGTGAGAGCTCGAGGTTTAGAGAATAGAGAGGTCATTATTTATGATTTTCTTTGAATATCAAGGGAATCTTTTGTCTTCTTTATTTTGTTGAACTCTTGAAATCGAGTTTGGGCTTCTCTCTCTCTTCCAGGCTATCGTTCTCTTTTGTTTTTCTCTTAATTGTTTTTATTTGAACTTTAAAAAAAAATTAAGCAGGAAAAAAATGGAAAGAAGATGTATGAGTGTGTATGGGTTTGAGAAAAAAAATGATAACGACACGACATTGATGATGATAATAGTGGACTTGTTTTACTATATTCTTCGGAATTTGGAGTTTCAACTAAACTTTATCACTCGATCGTGTAAATTACGTTATTTTATAATATTATGATAATCTTTACTACTAGTTTAACCATGCCTATCCCCCCCTAAAAGGGTTTTGAATATAATAACTGTTTCTCTAATCTACTACTGCACCGTATATCTATTAAAAAAAGTTATAACATTTACGTAACAAAAGTTCTTTATCGTTCACCATAAACGAAACTATATATATATATATATAACTTACCTAGCTATTATTATACATACATATATGATCTAATCATGCATACTTTATATAGACGATCTTTAAAAACTTTTCAAACTACAATACATGTTTTAATTAAGAGGTTAACACTCGTTCTTAACAAAAAAAAACAATTCTCTTTATGTTTTCAACAACCAAATGAGTCAATAACGTATTCACAGTTCTTATTTTCACTTGTGATGATAGCTTACAAACATATTCTCGAAAGGTCACCGACAAATAAATCTTGAAAGGTCAATACCCAATAACCTTGTGCCAATGCTTGTCTCTGGAGGATATTAGTTTATTCAAGGAAAAAGAGTGCCCTAGTATTTGTGTAAGTTATACGCGTTACACATAAATACAGTATGATAAAAATAGAGATATCATGATTCGTTGTGCACGAACTATAACTCACAAAACTAATTTCTCTAAAAAAAATTCACATAATTTATTTTTAAATATAATCATCATTAACTAAAATTCGTAAGATGAGATTACTTACGGGTAGGGAAATAATCATATTGCTGATCTAAAAAAATGTATGTTATTCATCAGATCACTTTAGATTTTAAGGACAAAGTTTAATTAAGAAACTAGTTTACATTATAGAGTCGGAAGAGACAGAACGTGCATAAACTTGGAATTCAGTTTTATTGATCAAAAACTTTCAAAATGTCCTGATTTGGAATGATGTAAAAACACAGAGGTCCCAAAATGAATACGTGCAAAAATGTGGGACCATTCTTTAATTTTAATTCTCTAATAATGTATCTTGTAAGACTTTTAAATTTGCTAATTATAATTTCTACGACAAAGAAACAATACATATTATACGGATTTGAATCTATAAAATAACATAATAATTAATAAAGTTAGCACAAATCATTAACTTATATGTAATATTCGATTAATGACATTATATTTACTTTAACAGACAGGTTTTTAAATTATGACTTATATATGCAAATAGTCAAATAAAGCGCCGAATTTACTCCAAATACTTTGTCCAAATTTAGTCTGTAAAACCAACAAGTAACCAGAAATACGAGGCCTCTAAGTAGAGAACCCAAATGAATCTCTTATAGGGCCCGTTATTATTTTCGAGAGAGCATGACCGTTGAGTTTTTGGGAAACTTGAGGTTTGAAACTTTGAAACCTAAGAAGATTACAATATTAATTTAATAGATTAAACGCTTAGGTCTGACAAAAAAAATGACACATTTAGGAAGTATATTGAATATAGTTGTACGATGAAACAATATTGAATACAATCGTCATACTCTTCATGACAAACAAAAAATAATTTTCTAATCGTTAGCTCACTTTAGCTTTTAAGAACAAAGTTGATAGAACTATTTTCATCATTAGTTATGAATGATGGAGTCGGAAGAGACAAATATGCCCAAAATTTAGGATCTCAAATTTATTATAAGGTTTCTAAATGTTTCAATTTGCAATGATGTGAAACACAAGGGTCCCAAGGTGAATAAGTATATAAAATGGGATCCATTTTTCTTATTTTTTACTATCTAATAATTTATACGGTCGCGCATTATCTTATCTAATTTTCTTTTCCAGAAAGATAATTAATGTTATAGAATTATAAGATGGGAAAAAATGTTATAAAATTATATGAGTGCGTTATCTTTACTTTTAATCGTATGTGATAAATAATAAGTAATTCACGTACGTACTAAGTATTAAAATTTGTGGTCCTATATGAATTACACTTCTAAAAGGGTTTCGTTTGTGGCCTGAAATAAAACGTGTGACCCACTACTAATTAATTATCAAAGGATAAACATTATTTAATTTCAAAATATTTAAAGGATAATTCAGATAATTAAATGAGTACGTACTGACTTTGTGAGTCATTTTAAAGAAGACTGGTTAATAATCCACTAGAAACTATGCTCATGGGATGGGCTGAATCGATTCCAATGATAAAAATTGAGATGATTTTTTTTTAAGAATTAGTTGTGGGTGCTATCATAGTCATGCTCGTCTCATTGACATGTTAATTTCATCTGTTTATATCGTTTGTGACCATTCCTAGGTTGTGTACATTTAAAGGAAATTTGGAAAATGATAATATATAACACGTATTTAAAGTAGAAGATTGAAATTTACTCACTCAGTTCCTAGTAAAAAATGGGAATTAGATCGCAAAATAACATTAAATCTTTTGAATAATTTCAGCAAGCTGATCCCGAGGCATTTCTGGTAATCTTAGGTTTAATGTAATTGTTATAGTCAGGATCGGCTTAAATTATTAGTAGATCATGTTCCTTTTGCATCAAAGGTATTTAATTTTGATAAAATAGTTTTAAGAAAGAAATATACATACTCTATAACTTATAGTATAATTAAATAAAATTTAAATCATTTTCGCATTTAAATCAGAATAATTTTAGTCGAGATTAAAGAAAATCGTTACTATATCAGTTTTGTCCAGTAGCAACGGTTCTGACAATATGTTCTAACGGTTATTACTGACCAGTCTTGTGCTGCGTAACACTATTACATATATGCAGAGCAAGAATAGTGTTGAAGAACATAACTGCTACGATTCTGTAACAAAATGATAATATTTTTTTGACATGGGACGAAAAAAATTATGAAATGTTTTGTTACAAATACAATTAACTGGTGGCAAAGCATTATCATGTTATGTAGTATTTGTTAAATTCGTTATTGGCAGAATTACAACAACAAAACAAATTTACTACTTGATTTAGTCTTTTTTTTTTTTTTCAAAAGACAAATACAAGGCAAAATAATTTTTTTTTTTGAAACTTTTATATTTTGTAACAAGGGTCGAAACTCTTAAATAAATAAAAAACAAATTAAGAACCTCCGGCAGATAAGTCCACTATCAACATATTATATCTGTGAAATGCGGTGTTCGTATTTTGTAAACATATCTTTATCTTATTTTATGTATATACTTTTTTTGTATGACATCACCATAACTAAATGTATTCTACATAAACAATTTGCATAAACACAGCAAAACTGAAAAAGAAGGGCTATATCGGTGAGAGAATGTGAGAATTAATAATACAGTTAACAGAAAGATGGGATTATTCCGAAACAATTAAAATGGACTTTTTGTAAGTAAACAAAAGCAAATTGTCATCTCGTTGTTGACAATTGTCGGCTCTTAGAGAATTTACACCTAATTCCTAATTTTTCAAGCTTTAAAAGTTATAAGTGCTATGCTTTTCAAAATCCAAAGTTAGTGCCATCTTAAGTTTAGTTTATTTATCAGAGGTAATTAAGAAGTGAATTGTTATAGATTGTATATTCCAATTCTTCCACAGTTGCACAAATATGCATGTGAAGTATAAAGAAATAAATACATAGAAATAGTAAAATATACACTAGATATCCCCTCTGATTTATACCTAACAAACATTGTAAATAGATGTACAAAACTGTAATAAATTAGAAAATTTCGACTTTTTAAATAGCAAAAGTCATATGTTGATATATATAATTATTATGTCAAACATTAAATAATTAGCTAGTCACACCGTACATGATGATACAGGCATTGTGAGAGAATTAGACAAATTCAAAGTGATCCTCGTTATTTTTTATTAATAGCGATAAGGAAAAGAAGGCTTATATATATTATATAAAATATAAATCATTGAGGTGTATAAGACTTCTTCAACTTCAACTTCATTTTCATAATATTATTGAAGATACGTCGATATATACAATCTCTCTTTCTCGCTTCTCTCTATCTCTCTCTCTTTCTCTACCATGGCTAGGGTTTTTCCTCAAGCAGCCATCTCTTCACCGTACATGAGTACGGAGAGAGAGACTTTCACGGTTTGGATGAAATCTCTGGTTTACCAAACCAACGGTTTAACCGTTTACAATTCCAACGGAGAGATCACCTACCGAGTCGAAAACTACGACAAATCTAGCAATGAAGTCCACATCATGGATCTCCATGGCAACATTCTTTTCACCATCCGCAAGAAGGTAATTAAAAATGAATATTCGAATACGATCCGATTCTTCTTCATTTTCCTTAGCCATTCCGGTTTAAGTTCTGGAACTAATAAATCATTTCTAAAGCAAATAATTAAACAAAAAAAGTTAGTTGAAGATTCGCTAGTTTAATATAAAAAAATACATCTCCAAAACTAATAAATCCCGGCTCGATTACATTTTACTTCTTCTTCTTCTTCCTGGTTTATCCCGGTTTAAGTTTTGTTGCTAATAAATCGGCTCTCATGCAAAAAAAATTAAACTAACATGTAAAAAGTTAGTTGAAGTTGGAGGAAAATTTAAAGTAGCAGACTTAATTTTCTTGAATTGTGTCGATTCAATTCTCTTTAACAATCATATATGCTACTCTTTAGATTAAAAAAAATATATAAAAAGAGTTCGTTGAAGTTTCTCTAGCTCAAAATAAAATACGTTTAAAAAGAATATAAAAAACGTAAGCTAAGCAACCATACTCAAATTACGATTCAATATTCCGTCGTGACAATGACTGTTCTTTTAATTCTCACATGTAAAATTGTTGGACACAAAATATGAAATAAATCTAATGTGTAATTAATTGTATTTCTTGTTAAATTAATATTTGCAGAAATTATGGCTCTTTGGGAGTTGGTATGTGTATAGAGAATGTGGAACTTTATCAAGCAGTGAGGAAGTAAAACCTTTTTTCAGAATCAAAAGGTCTTCAATTAGAGATGGAGATTGGGAAGTTCGAGATGAGACCAATGAAGTCTTTTGGATTTTAAGATTTGACCTCAAATTTGCTTTTCAGATCATAGACACCAATGGAGATATCATTGCACAGGTAAATTTACAAAACTTTGAAAACATTAATGAATTTGAAAGAGTATATAGTTATTAAATAGATAAACTAATTTTATAGGTAAAGCCAAAGCAGTCATCAAATGGGATTACACTGGGAGAAGATGTGTTAACTTTGGAAGTGAAACCACGTGTCGATCACTCACTCGTTGTGACACTTGTCACTGTATATGGATTGATTAAAGGAGTAGTCTAATTTTTTTTTTTTTTGAATTTAATAGAAAAAGTTATACACAAAATAGTAAAAAAAATTCCAATCTTGTTTGTGTTGTGGACTTGTGGGAGATGTAAATATATCTTTTTTGCAGTGTGATCATAATTAGAACAAAAATTAGTCAGCTAACTCGATTTACACAATTGGATAAATTTATAAATATTTCGAATAATGGAAAAGACAAAAGAATAAGGAAAAAGATAAAAGGAAAAAGAAGATTTACTCTTGTTATTATAAATAGAAGAATTTCTCACGAAGATTAGAATATTTTGTTTGAGATAAGAATCTCTGAGAATCAATCAATGAAACGAAGATTTGCGAATGGAGGATGTGGTGAAGTGGAATTGACGAGGAAGAGGAAGAGGAAGGTGTGTGGGTTATGGTCGTTGCCAGATGATGTGGCGTTGACCTGCCTGGCTAAACTGTCGAGAGTGGACCTCGCTGCCTTAGCGATGGCTTCCAAGATACACCGGCCTCTGGTAGTGTCCCCTGAGCTCTGGAACTTGAGGTGGCGGATGGGTTGCGTCGAGCCATGTCTGTACGTGTTCTTGCACATCTTTCCAGACCCATGGCCACGGTGGTTCATCTTCCACCCCGCGAAACGTCGGCTGAAACGGATCTTTTCGAAACTGTACCCGGCTCCGGAGTCAGGGTCCTGTTTCGTGGCGAACAGTTGGGGATTCTTTGTCATCGGCGGACTCAAGAACGGAAAACCCACTTCGGAGGTGACGTTTTTCGACTGTTTCCAGCACAGAGTGTACCGCTTCCCGCCCATGATGATGGCTCGATGCGGAGCCTCGGCAAGCCAGATAGACGACAAGATATACGTGTTCGGAGGTGTGGCTGATTCCGAATCCGATTCCTCAAACTATGTAGAGGTGTTTGATCTCAGGACATTAACTTGGGAGTTGTTGTCTGTGTCTACACCACCCAAGATGCCCCTCAAAATCCAGCGAAGTGCGGTGGTGAAAGAGAAGAAGGAGATTTGCGCGGTGGATGAGAAGGGTCAAAGCTTCTTCTTTTCACCGGAAAAACGTATGTTTGTGGCAACCGGAAAAACAGATTCTAAGGCACGACACAGAAACCATTGGTGTTCCATGGGGTCATTCTTATTCTGCCACGATTCCCGCCACCGGAGAATACTGTGGTGTTTGCCACGTGACTTGGATTGGAAGGAAGTGAAGGGTTTACAAGAGCTCCGTGGTTATGACATCTGCAAACTCTGCACCAACCGTGCCGGCAAGGTTTTCATCTTTTGGAAAGTTCCTCAGACTCTGGAGCTTTGGTCTGCCCCGATCTCCCTCCGGCAACGCGAGACACCCGAGGGACTCGAGCTTTCGGGCGACATTGACTGGTACCGTGCTCTCCTCCAACACTCTTGTCTCGGCGTTAACTTGTTACATGCTGGTTTTGCCTATACCTGAAGCTTCTTGGAGTAGAATGGACCTTTATTGGGCTCGCGGGGATTGAAGAAGGAAAGCCTAAGCTTCTTTTGTATGTTGGTTAAGTTTCGGTTGAGTGGAAGCAATACATAAACATACCAATCAAAGTCATTCAGCAAATAGATAAATCACTGGAATCCATAGCAAACACAAAAGCAGGGACACACACAACTTAAAACACAGAAGCGAGATTACTAGTACTCATTCAAAAGTTCTCCCAACATAGAAAAAAAAGATAGATAATCTGAAATGAAAACGTTCTAGTAAAAGAGAGAGTGTGCGTGTGATTGATTACTCGCTCTTGGTGGTGGTGGTGTTGTCGTCGTTGCGAGGAGGAGGTGCAATGACAATCTTGAGAACACCAAACTGTAACTCGCAAGCTAAGGTCCGGGTCAAAAGTGAAGGCAACGGGCAAGAAGAGGAACCACCACGAAGGATGAGACGTCCAAGGAAAACACGTGCACTCTCGTCGTGCTCGTAAACGTTCTTGACCTCAGCGTAGAACCTAACTTTATCCTCGTTAGCGAGCACCTCAACATCACCTGGACAAACACCTGGCACATCCACCGCAACGTAAAAAACTCCATTGGGTAACGGAGCTCCAAGGAGCGGTGTCTTACGACCTTTCACCACAAACGGATGATCCTCCAGTGATCTTCCAGAGTTACCTGTCGGAGCGATTCAAACCAAAAACAGAGCATTTTAACATACAAACAAAAACAGAGCATTTAACATACAACAAAAAAAAAAACAGGAATGGATTCGAACGAACCTGTGAAAGGAGGGAGAGTGAGAGTACACTTGTTCTCATGGTCTTTCACCTTGACCCTTGTGACAATCATCCTCAAGACTCCATCTTTCATCTTAGCGTCAACGCCGGTTATCTCGCAGCAGTCGCAGCCTAGACCGGCGGTTCCGGAGTACTCGCGAACGCCGTCCTTGGGGTTGCCGTCGTTGGGAGTTTCGCCGGAGAAAAAGATCACCTTTTGCCTCACGGAGTCGACTCTGTGGCGGATTGCGTCGTCGGGAACACCGGGCAAGTCGACGCGGATGTAGAGGCTGTCGTTCTCAAGCACCTTCACTTGGATGAAACCCTTTGGACCGGCTTTCTGGAACTGGTTGTTAGTCGCGTAGAGACCCTCTGTTTTCCAAGAGAACAAAGATGTTTTAGTTTGACAGAACAAATTCAAACAAGAGATTATCAAAGATCAAATAAAAACGAGTTTTTTAGAAGATAAAGGAGAAGGAAGATACCTCTGGTGAAAGGAATCCCCGTCGAGTCAAGGAATTGTATCTTATCCATCTCTCTGTTTTCTCCCTTCTCTCTCTCGTTCGCGTAAAAATGGAGTTTTTGAGTTTGTTGTTGAATGATAATAATACAGAGTAGTACTAAAAGCAAAAGAACGGCGAGGCAAAGAGGTACACAATAACACCGTCTGTGACGTGGCAGTCTACGAGTGGCTACTTTTCTCAATTCAATAAGCGTGAAGAAGAGAGAAAACCAAAATTTGACTGGTCTTCGCTTGTTCTCATCTTTTTTTACTCTGTTAATTTTGATTTTTTGCCTTCCCTATTGAATTGTTACTGTGAAATAGTACGATGACGTCATCAATGTTATGATGAGTTGTCCAAAAAGAAAGCTCTCCTTCAATATATATCCTGTCACATGAGACAAAAATAGTGAAACGAAGGCAATCTCGTCTCTCTCTTTAATTCAATTTTTTTTTACTGAAGAATTCAAAGCATGGGAGACGCCGCTGACGTCAACAGCGAGCTGTCAATTTTTTTTACTGAAGAATTCAAAGCATGGGAGACGCTGACGTCAACAGCGAACTGTCAATCTTTTTTTTTTACATACGCCAATTTTTTTTTTAAACGTCTCTTTTTTTTTTGTTTTTTGTTTTTTAACTTTTTTGCATCAAACTTCGATATTTATCCAGTTATTTTTCAACTTTATTTTTACAGAAGAGTTCAAGACGCTGACGTTGTAAGCTGTCAATTTTTTTTTGTTTTACATACGACAAAAGAAAATTAACAATGCAAATGCAACGTTGCCACAAACTTCTCTCTTCTTAAAGTTTTTACAAGATGTATTTTTACAGAAATATTGAAAACACACCTTAAACATCTCGTTATAGCCTCAAAGAAACGTTCTGATGACATTAATCAATCAGATGATACAGAAGAAAAACCATAAACCAGCTAAAACAAAGTTGACGTCATAGAGACCCTTTTATTTAAAAAAAAAAACAGAAAAATACCATAAACCCTAGCGAGAGACACCATTACGAGGCAAGAGACAGAGACGCGAGACGTACGGACTCACTCAAAACGACGTCATTTTTTGGTGACCTTGAAATCATACAGCATCTTCTCAATGACATCAAGCTTGATGCTTTTGCCGGGGACTTTAGGGACGGTGAGCCAGAAAACGCCGTTGAGAAGCTTACCCTTGGCTCGCTTGACGTCGTAAAACTCGGTGTTGAAAAGCAACGTGCCTCCGTATTTGCGTCCGCCGTGGTCGTACTCGGGCATCGCGGGTTCGTCGGCGAAGACGTGGACTTTGTCGCGGTCGATCCAGTAGGTGAGGTCCGACACGGGACAACCAGGCATGTCGACTCTGTAAATCAGGCACGTGTCCGTCTCCTTCACCTCGTACACCTCCTCGCTACCGCTTTTCTGGAACCGGTTCTTCGCTGCAATGCAACACCATAAAAACGCACTCACATAAGTATATTATATAGAGAGATTTAACAGCAACAAACATCATTTTCTGGAAGAGAAATATGTGAAGAGAAGAAGGAAGACGTACGGATGTTGTTGACGCCGGAGCTGCTGCCGCCTGCTTTACTCATCCTTGAAACGACGCTGTTTTGGAAGATAGTGACGTGTGTGTAAAAAACGTGAGAGAGTGAAAACTTACCATTTATAGCGGAGGGGATAAGTAGATATTGTAGGTTTTGGAGAAAAGGGCTTCGAGTAAACTAAATTGGGCCTCTTGATCAGCCCAATGATATTATTTCCAAATGGGCCTAGTTATGAGGCTTGTGGTTTAACTACGAGATCATTAGTGTGAGAGAGTAAGTGGAACTGATACACAACATATACAAAATTGATCTACCAAACGAAGAGAATAATTTTCAACATCATAAATTGGTTTTAATCAGCTCAGGTAATCAAGTTTAGATTGTGAAAACAAATGACATGAATCACTAAACTCCATAGGACTCGCACATAATTGTCTCAACTTAAACATGAAAACGAAAACGAAAACGCAGCACAGAGAGAGTGGTTACTCATTGTCGGTGTGGCCACGAGGTGCAGTGAGAACCTTGATAACACCAGTTCGATGCAGAGGAAGAAGTACAAGTGTCGATGGTGCTTCCAAGGTAAAGACGGCTCACACACGTTCTTGATCTCAGCGGTGAATTTAACTTCATTCTCGTTAGCAAGCACTTCATCACCTTTGAAGCGTGCTAAGATCCCACACCTGGATATTACAGCAAGCAATATTAATTGGAATACGTTCTATAGTTTTGGTTTGTTAACGACTGAATCAATTACCTTACAGAGCCAGAGTTTATATAGCCTCCGACAGTAAAAACAGATGTGACTTCAACGCCATTATGTCTGTTTTGAGAGGTTTAAACTCGGTGTCAGTGGATTCTGGACTGAATACTACCAAGCTGCAATTCAAAAATAAAACATTATATTAGTTTTTCCTAACTCAACTATAACCTTAAATTTTTAACTAGACAAAAATAGTTTTTTAACTCTGTTCAACTCCCACCATTAAATCCGAAACCATACAAAGTATTTCAAATGAAAGTCGCAAATACTTTTGCGCTATGAAAGGAGAAATAAGACCTTATAATCAGTTACCAAACATCATTTGAAGTCTGAAGTTTTAGTGAAAGAAGCTTCACTGACTTTGAGCACTATTCTAGAATCTTGAGTTAACACGACGACAAGTGTTTGCATCGTCGACTCTTGTCTGAAACCTAGCAGGGAAATAACAAACAGAATCAGAAAGATTCGATGAAGATCAGACAGAACATCAAACGAGAATTTGCCATTAGAATAGCAGCAACAAAGTTGATTCACCTCGCTCTAGGATGATGAAGCTATATTAAGAAAGCATGTCCAGAAAGCTTTGGTCTAATCTCCCATCATGCAACATGTTCCCGACCAAGCTAATCGTTGAAGCGTCCCCACAGAAGCCCAAACTCCTCAATTCCTTGATGAGTTCGGCTGATGCGGCTTTGTCACCATCTCTGAGGTGCGCCCGGATTAGCGTATTATATGTATAGTCATTTGGGAGAGGCCCATCTTCTTTCATTTCTCTGAACAAGGCATCCGCTTCCTCCTTTAAGCCTTTCCCACAAAACCCTGAGATCATTGTATTGTAGGTTACAACATCAGGCTTCACCACTCCTTTGAGCCTGAGACTATTGAATAAATCCCAAGCATCTTCTACTTTACCAGCCTTGCACATCCCTTCAATCATAATGTTATATGTGACAATATTGAGTTCCATTTCCCTCTTTTGCATATCTTGGAATACGACCAACGCTTTCTCGAGCTTCCCGTTATTACAAAGCCCATGTAACAACATGTTGTAAGTCATAATATTAGGAGGGACACCAGCAGAAACCATCTCTTTGAAAACTTGTTGGGCATTCTCACAATCTCCAGCTTGGTAAAAGCCTTGAATAAGAGTGGTGTAAGTGACTGTGTCGCCAATCAATCCTATTTGAGACATCTCACGAAAGAGTTTCATGCCATCCTCTACCCTCTTAGACTTGCAAAATCCATTGATGAGAGTATTATACATCACTACATTTGGGAGACAACCCTTGCTAGCCATCGAATCAAACATCTGCTTGGCCTCCTCTAGGCGACTCTGCATGCAAAATCCATTGATCAGTGAACTGTACGTGAAAATGTCAGGATCTATAGACCTTCTGATCATTTCCTCGTACAGTTTTTCGGCCTCCAAAATCTTCCTCTCTTTCACAAACGCATCGATCAATGCATTGAACGTGACTACATCGGGGTTGATGTTCCTCTCGATCATATCGCTTAGTAGTCGAGAGGCATCGCTCCATCTTCCGTAAGTACAAAGGCAACTTATGAGGGAGTTGTAGGTGACAACATCAGGCTTCATCACTCCTTTGAGCCTGAGACTATTGAATAAATCCCAAGCATCTTCTACTTTACCAGCCTTGCACATCCCTTCAATCATAATGTTATATGTGACAATATTGAGTTCCATTTCCCTCTTTTGCATATCTTGGAATACGACCAACGCTTTCTCGAGCTTCCCGTTATTACAAAGCCCATGTAACAACATGTTGTAAGTCATAATATTAGGAGGGACACCAGCAGAAACCATCTCTTTGAAAACTTGTTGGGCATTCTCACAATCTCCAGCTTGGTAAAAGCCTTGAATAAGAGTGGTGTAAGTGACTGTGTCGCCAATCAATCCTATTTGAGACATCTCACGAAAGAGTTTCATGCCATCCTCTACCCTCTTAGACTTGCAAAATCCATTGATGAGAGTATTATACATCACTACATTTGGGAGACAACCCTTGCTAGCCATCGAATCAAACATCTGCTTGGCCTCCTCTAGGCGACTCTGCATGCAAAATCCATTGATCAGTGAACTGTACGTGAAAATGTCAGGATCTATAGACCTTCTGATCATTTCCTCGTACAGTTTTTCGGCCTCCAAAATCTTCCTCTCTTTCACAAACGCATCGATCAATGCATTGAACGTGACTACATCGGGGTTGATGTTCCTCTCGATCATATCGCTTAGTAGTCGAGAGGCATCGCTCCATCTTCCGTAAGTACAAAGGCAACTTATGAGGGAGTTGTAGGTGACAACATCAGGCTTCACTCCTTTGAGGTCGAGGCTACAGAATAATTTCCAAGCTTCTTCCACCTTACAAGCCTCGCACATTCCTTCAATGATAATATTATATATAACAATATTGAGTTCCATTTTACTCTTTTGCATATCTTGAAATACGACCAATGCTTTCTCGAGCTTCCCGTTGTAACAAAGTCCATGTAACAACATGTTGTAAGTCATAATATCACGAGGCACACCAGCAGAAACCATCTCTTTGAAAACTTGTTGGGCATTCTCACAATCTCCAGCTTGGTAAAAGCCTTGGATTAGGGTGTTGTAAGTGACTGTGTCGCCAATCAATCCTCTTTGAGACATCTCACGGAAGAGTTCCATGCCATCCTCTACCCTCTTAGACTTGCAAAATCCATTGATGAGAGTATTATACATCACTACATTTGGGAGACAACCCTTGCTAGCCATCGAATCAAACATCTGCTTGGCCTCCTCTAGGCGACTCTGCATGCAAAACCCATTGATCAGTGAACTGTACGTGAAAATGTCAGGATCTATAGACCTTCTGATCATTTCCTCGTACAGTTTTTCGGCCTCCAAAATCTTCCTCTCTTTCACAAACGCATCGATCAATGCATTGAACGTGACTACATCGGGGTTGATGTTCCTCTCGATCATATCGCTTAGTAGTCGAGAGGCATCGCTCCATCTTCCGTAAGTACAAAGGCAACTTATGAGGGAGTTGTAGGTGACAACATTTGCTTTAATCCCTTTCTTCTCCATTTCACTGAATAGGTCGACTGCGTCATCCACATGTTTGTGTTTGCAGAGACCATCAATAATTGTGCTGTAGATTACAACATTCGGCTCTATTTTTTCTGCTTCCATCTTCTTGAGCAGATTCAAAGCCAAATCAGTATGGCCTCTCTTACATACTCCGTTTATTACCGCACCGTAAGTAATCAGATCTGGTTGACATCCTTTCAACACCATCCGTTCAACTAAAGACACTGCCTCTGAGACTCTGTTGTGGAGAAACAGGCCATGGATCAGAGTGTTGAATGTGATGGTATCAGGTTTGTATCCCATTTCCACCATTCGATCAAGCAGAGATACAGCATCCGAAATCCGATTCCCGTGACAGAAACCAATGAGCAGCGAGTTAAGCGTGACAACGCTGGGAACAAATCCGAGTTTCATCATCTTCCCAAAAATGGATAAAGCGTAAGGGAGCTGGGAGGAGCGGCAGAAACAGTTTATCAAGATACTGAAAGTATAGTGATTATGCGGAATTCCCAAATTTTGCATCTTCTCGCCCAGAGAGATGACGACATCATACTTCCTCAACTTAGCGATAGCGCTCAACAGTTTACTGAAATCAACAATGGAAGGAAAAGGACGAGACTTTACCATTTCACCAAACAAACCAACAGCATCGTCTAGCTTAATATCACGAAGCCCGTTTCTCAGTATCTCTCTGTAACCATCACTAGCACCAGAGAAAGCTCGTACCCAGCAACAAAGACAAAACGAGGGAGAAGCAGCCGAAGAATTACCTTTCCCCTGGAGATTCCGATGGACAAATCTCTTCGGTATCAATGCAATGGCGATCGAAATCGTTCTCATCGTCCTCTAGATTTCGCTTCACCTGATTGATTGAGAGTTCCTTGTCAACAATCTCAGTCTCAGGAGCTTTCCCTCTGCAAATCGCAGAACCCTACACAAAGCGAGAGAAACTAATAAACCGAGCTATAGAAACCGGTATACTTCCGGTTTAATATTGATTACCAAGCTCGTTTACTAACCAGTTACCCTTAGCCGCTGATAAGTGATAGTGATGTAATTCTTTTGGGAAACTTGAATAATTGTTTCTCCTTTAACAAAATTGGTTGATAAGGTTAATGTCTACTATGCTTATTTATTATTTTAGACCTTAAGAAATTAAGCAATTGATATCAAACTTGCTTGTCTCAAGTGACAACAATCGAAATTTACATCAACAACCAAAAAATATTAAAAAAGTGCACACAAAGAAAAAGGACAACTCCGGTTCTAAAATACCGGTTTTGATCTCAATCCATCCAATTCTTTTATACAAAATCGACAAAAATATTATCTCTTTGTTAAAAAAATTGATAATTACAAATACAACAATTTTTTTTTTAAAACAAAAGTTTTGTTAAATCAATCATTTTCAAGAAAAAAGTTACAAATTTAATTCATATAAATAATTTTCTCCCACAGATGTGAATTTAGTTTTAATTTTTTTTTTTTAAAACATCAACATACAAAATCTCTCTCACACACCAAAATTTCAGACTTTTTCAGTTTATCTACTGTTTTTGAAACGATCGTAATAATTAATTATGATGACATCTATATCTATAAAGTAACTTTTTCTCTCTTCTCATGTAGCCACCTCAGCATCCCAATCAGATGCCACCTCATTTCTCTTTTCCCACAGCTAAAACTAAGATAAATAACGGCTCATCACAGTGTCCACTAATCAAAGATATTACTTTATTCTCTTCAATTCCGCTGCCCACTATAAATACCACACTATATCTTCATCATTTTCTTCACACTCTAAAGCACATCTCCTCTCAACAACGATCTCATGGCAGGTGCCTATCTTGAATTCTCTAATCTCAAATTAGTCTCACCCCTTCTAAAAACTTCATATCTCAGCCTCCTTCTCATGCAATACTTCATTAACTAACCAAAACAAAATACACCTCTTTCCTCTCCAACGGTCAGAAGATCTGTCTTAGTGCATTTGACGAATATAAAGCCATCAATAATGTGCAACCCAAACAAACTAGATAACAGATGCCATCACTGTTACTACTACAAACAGATTGTCAAGTTTGTGTACATCATTTAGACATCAAAGAAAAACTATTGTGACGCAACCACATAATCTTATGTTGTTATTCAAACAAACGTTATTTTAGTTAATCTCCATAACTCTTCGCAATACACAGATACACATTTTCCAAATTTTCATGCTGCCAGTTTAAAACAAATGTTATCTCTACGGACAAACAATATAGAAACTATTTAAGTTAAGGCTTTCTCAAAACGTCCCAATTCTATGAAAACACATAAGATAAAAACGCAACTTAACATAATCCAAGCCAAAAACAAGATCTTCAAAACCAACAATGAAACACGAACAATTAAACGGTCTAGATTAAGCCTCTACACACCAACAAGTTATGCCTCAACTTATGAGCTTTAAAAAATTATGTTTTCAACTCTTCTATCACGAAACATAAACGAACGACTAAATTAATATAACTCAAAAAATAATTGTATAAAAATTAACTTCAAAAATGTGTTTATTATATTAACATTTATATTTCATATGAATGAAATAAAAAGCAATTACATCAGTGAGTCCACAAAAAAATAACTTAATAAGATAAGTTGATATTAATAGAAAAATAACCGACTATGTGAAATGACGCTCATGCAGGCAAACATTGCTTTCATTAAGAGCACACTATACATGAGACAAACAAGACGATTAAAACATACTAGATTAAAACATACCAAATTATGTGGCACAATTATATAACATTAGAATTTAATAATAAAAACCATTAGAATATGAATTAGAAAATGACAAAATAAATAAATAAAACAATAAAAGTATCAGATCGGAAAAATAAAAATATAATCCAATAACAACAACTGAAAACATAAACAAAAATATAACATAAGGTACACATCAACGCATAGCTCGCCTACTCTACGCATACCTTATTATTACAAGAAAAACTAACTCTTACAAATTACAAAACATAGGCATACCAACATTAATTATTTCAAACAGTGGCAGATAGTACATAATGAAATTATACAATCAAATTTAATAGTTTTCTTATATAAAAATGACGTATACATCCGCGCGAAGCGCGGGTTAACTCCTAGTGATTGAATAAACCAATCTGTTTAAAGCACTATAAGAAGAGCCTCCGATTCTGACAGAAGCTTCAAGCTTCTCCTTCATTATGATGGCTCTCTTTCTCATATCTTCACCTTCCTCACCCACAATGAGCTTTTTCACAGCCATCTCCACGATTCCTCTGCTCAATTCACCTTCGACCTCAAATGCAGTTTCCCAAACATTTGTCATAAGTCGAGTATTTACCCTTTGATCACCCGAATACGGCCTGCAAATTATTGGCATGCCACAGCTTATGCTCTCCAAGCTCGAGTTCCATCCACAATGGTTCCAAAACCCTCCCACTGCTCTGTGCCCTAGCACCTCCTTTTGTGGAGCCCAATTCACTACAAAACCTCTCTCGTCATGGGTCACCGCTTGTCTGAACTGTTCCGGTAATGACTCTAAGGAGTTTGATCCGGTTATGGAGCCTGGTCGGATCACCCATAAGAAAGGTTGGTTACTCTGAACTAATCCCATGGCCAACTCCACAAACTCTTCTTCTTGCGTTATCGCCAAGCTTCCTATGCTTATGTAGATAACCGAGTTTGTTTCTTGCTTCTCAAGCCATTCAAGACATTTTCTTTCTTCTTCGAAAAAACTAGGACACGAGGTTGCGGAATCGGTTAGATGAAGTGGACCGACCAAGTATAGCTCAACACCCCACTTGTCTTCTGCAGCTGATGTGAATAAGTTCTCTAAATCATTCGAAGAGTTGTGTATTATACCAGAACATGTGTCTCTCTTGCTGACATTACTGTAAAGTAACATTAGTCTCTCGATAGATCCATGAGCTGTCACCGGTAGATCTTTGTACCGAAATGGATGAAACTCTGGCACCAATTCTTCTAGTTTAGATTCTAATAGACAGATCCAAAAACATCAGCAACAGCAGCATAACAATGAAAGCAGAGTAATGAGTGGTAAGGATACCTTGCGGAGGAAGTAACCATTGATCTTGGTTCTCCATAAGCAAACATCGACTGATCGAAGTAGCTACGGAAGAAGCACTAAAGACCATCTTCGGCAGATTCAGATCTTCTGCAACTTGTCGAGGGAAGTAGACGAATTCGTCATGAATGATGAAGTCAACATCGTCATGAAGTGTTAGAAATTCTTTAAATAAGGGTTCACAGACAGAGTTTAGCTTCAAGATAAAGTCAACGAGCCCAAGAGACGACATGTCGGATTCGGACAAGCCATCGTCGATAGTGTAGAAACGGAGATCGAGGAAATGATCGGAGATATCGTAGAAATTGAACTGGGTTCGAACGATTGTGATTGAAAATCCTCGGGAAGAAAGGGATGAAGCTAAATTCATCATCGACGGTAAATGGCCTTCGAACGGCGCAGGAATCATCAACACTCTTTTCTGGCGAATCTCTAACATGATACCTCTCTCTCTCTCTCTCTCTCTAGAGAGCTTGATTGTTTTATGTTTTCTATATGAACACAAATAAATTGTTTCTTTATGAAGAGAACGTGTTGATTAATTTAATAGATAGGAAACTTCGTAGAGACAGGACCTTTGTTAAAAAAAACAAAAAAAAACAAAGTTGATTATTCAATTCTCTGGTGATAGTTATGTGATTCTTTTGGGAAACTTGAATAATTGCAAAACCCAAAGAAAAAGGACAACTCCGGTTATGAAATACCGGTTTTGACCTCAATCCAAACAATCCAATTGCAAAATCTAACTTTGATACTTAAACATCTCCAAAGGTTATTCTTGAACCAACTCGAAAGTCATTCCATCAAATTCTTTAATTGCAACACAAGGCAATGCTTTTTCTGGTAATATATATATATATGTACACATTTAGAGATGCATTACTTGCATTCACATCCCTTCTCGTGGTGTTGAAACTCTTGAGATCAAAGAATGAAGCTAAGTGAGTCGAGAGGCGAAGCAGAGAAGCACAAGAGACGACAACATTTCGACCACGAGCTTAAGAACATGATCTCCTCGTTAACCCACATGGGAGCAGAGAAGGCAGGACCAAGCCACTACGAGGAAGAGGACAAGGAGGAAGATGGCGTGAGAGTCATCACGCTTTCTGGATCCAACCAAGGAGCCACCATGAAGACCGAGCTTGACGACAATCATGAAGATCATCGCAACAACAGAAACGGCGGGCACGAGCTTGATTTCCTGACAACCTTTGTTAATAGCAACTTTCAAGCTGTGAACAACTCGATAATGATGGGGGCCAAGTACGAGACTCATGATCCAGGTGTTCATCTTGACATCTTAGGCGATGTGGAGAAACCTTCGATGAAGGCACCTGCGAAGGAGACAAGGGGAAAGAAGGTGAAAACTCCTGCAAGAAGTGATCGTCGAGAATCTGAACATACAGAATGATTGGTATCGTCAATTCATTTTGGCTTCTGCATTTAATTCTCTTTTTTTATTTCTTGTCCTCTCTAAATAATCAGAGAAGTGTTGCACTTTCACTTTCTCTCTTCGAGGTTGTTGTTTTCGCTTGCGCTTATCATTAAATACGTTTGATCTTTAGTCTATTCTCAATATAAATAAAACCTGAAATCTCTAATCAGGTTTAGAATTAACGGTTCCTCTTGTCACAGTTTGACACACATGAAAACACAGAAATATCTGAATGATTTGAGATAGCCAAATATTATACAGAACATTAATGAACACAACCAATAAAGTTAAGATCATCAATGAAGGACCAATTTCTGAAAGGCGTAGCACTAAGTTTGTGAATTATATAATCAGAAACTAAGTTTGTCAATTTCTCAAAGGAGTACATTTTTTTTTCTGTATGAAACCCAAAATTGTCAAGTATACAGCAAAAACTGGAGTAAGGGCTCACTAAAAGTATGCTCGTCTCTGTCTCTCTCTATGTACCTCTCTTTCTCTTCCTATATGCAAAAAAGGTTACAAAACTGAAATAAAACGATTCCTACAAATTGTACAACAGCATAAACTCAGCCTCTGTCATTTCTCTATACAGCACATCAGCTTCATGCCGTAGGCCTTTCCGACACAACCCCGAGATCATTGTCCGGTATGTCACAACATCAGGTTTCAGTCCTTTAAGCTCGAGACTGGAGAACAAACCCATCGCATCCTCCACCTTACCAGCCTTGTACATCCCATGAATGATGATATTATACGTAAAAATATCAAACTCCATCTCATTCTTCTCCATCTCCCTGAATATCGCCAACGCTTTCTCTACCTTCCCGATATCGCACAGACAACCCAACAAAATGTTGAAAGTAATAACATCACGAGGCACGCGAGACTCAGACATGCGTCTCATAACCTTTTGAGCGACACTGAATTTGCCAACTCGACAATAACCATGGATGAGTGTGTTGTAAGTGAAAGCGTCGCCACATATCCCTTCATGAGCCATCTCGCAGAAGAGTTTCATCCCATCGTGTGCTCTCTTCGACTTGCAAAACCCTTTGATGAGAGTATTATACGTCACCACATTCGGGACGCAGCCTTTGCTCACCATGAAGGCAAGCAATTTCCTCGCCTCGTCAAGACGACCGTGCATGCAAAGACCATTGACGAGCGAGTTGTAAATCCGAACATCGGGATCTACAGACCTTCGTATCATCTCCTTGTACAGCTCTTTAGCCTCGAAAACATTCCCTTCTTTCACACAAGCATCGATCAATCCACTGAAAGTGATCACATTTGGTTCGATTCTCTTCTCCACCATACCGCTCAGCAACCCGGCGGCTTCACTCCATCTACCGGATTTGCAAAGACCCCTTATCAGAGAGTTGTAGGTAACAACGCTAGGTCTAACCCCTTTCTTCTCCATTGAGTTAAACACTTGGAGTGCATCACTCACACGCCTGCTTTTGCAAAGAGCATCAATGACAGTGTTGTAGATCACAACGTTCGGTTTGTATCCCATTTCTTCTATCTGATACACAAACGACATTGCATCTGAAACCCTGTTCCCGTGGAAGAGCCCATTGAGCAAGGAGCTAAGCGTGACTATGTCAGGAGCATACCCGAGCTTAATCATTTTTCCAAGAAACGATAGAGCAAGGGAGAGGTGAGAGCATCGGCTGAAGCAATTCATCAGGATATTGCAAGTGTAGATATTATGAGGGATTCCCAAAGCCTCCATCTCCTGGCAGAGGGAGATGACGACGTCGAACTTCTTCATCTTGGCGATCGCACTCAACAATCTACTGAAATCGACAATGGAAGGTAGTGGGCGAGACTGAGCCATGACACCGAACAGATCAACCGCGTCGTCTAGCTTGAGATCCTGAAGCCCGTTTCTGAGTATCTCACTGTAATCATCATCGCTCGCGGCGGAGAAATGTCGTATCCAGCAACAGATTCCACAAAGACTAAACGAGGGAGAAGCAGCCGAAGAATTACCTTTCCCCTGGAGATTCCGATGAACAAATCTCTTCGGTGTCGAAGCAATTGCGATCGAAATCGATCTCATCATCCTCCTCTAGATTTGGCTTCACCTGATTGATAGAGTTCCTTCTCAACAATCTCAGTCTCAGGAGCTGCAAATTGCAAAACCCTACACGAAGAATGTGAGATATGGAAACCGGTTCCGGTTTAACACTTTTTAAATTCAAACCGGTTTAGTAATTGGCCAATAGTTCTGTGTACTGTATGTTTAAAGCAAATTTGTATTTGTATTTGTTAATGCAGCTCTGAGTTGAACTCATCTAATCAACGATTTCCAAATCCTAATCATATAACCAAAAATGGATTACAAGCAACAAAACCAAAAACTTAGTCAGCTCTGAGTTGAACTCATCTAATGATCTTCTGTCAATCTCAATTATTACTAAAATACAGAGTTAAACCGGTTAAGTATCTTCTGTCATTTCTCAGATGTCTTTGGTGAGGATCAAAAGATTAAATTTTCCATCCCAAAGACATAATATTCCGGTTGAGTATCACAGATACTTGCGCATTACGAAGAAGAAACAATGTTGAATATTTTCAATGTTACAGCAAAAATCAACCAAGTTGGTAAGTTACAAAGACAAATGATGCAAAAATTTAAACTTGGTAACAATAGCTTCTCCGACTTCATTTGAGCGCACTGAACTTGTGTCAACAAGTGACTGAATCAGCTCTTCTCTGACATAACAGCAACCGTGACACTGCCATTAGAATAGAAGCACCTAACAAGTCTTCCCTAACAGATTTAAGAAAGCTTTTGTCTAATCTCCCATCATAAAAACAGAATCAGAAAGATTCGATGAAGATCAGACATAACATCAAACGAGAAATTGCCATTAAAAGAGCAGCGAAACAGTTGATTCACCTCACAGTTTTTCTCTCAAGATTGATTAAACAGTTTTAAGAAAGCATGTCCAGAAAGCTTTTGTCCAACCTCCCATCATGCAACATATTCCCGACCAAACTTATTGTCGAAACATCTCCTGAGAACCCACAACTCCTCATTTCCTTGATGAGTTCTGCTGATGCGTCTTTGTCACAATCCTTAAGGCGTGTCCTGATCAGCGTATTATAGGTACCGCTATTTGGGGGAGGCCCATCTTCTTTCATTTCTCTAAACAAGGCATCCGCTTCCTGCTTTAAGCCTTTCCCACAAAGCCCTGAGATCATTGCGTTGTAGGTTACAACATCAGGCTTCACCACTCCTTTGAGGCAGAGACTATTGAATAAATCCCAAGCATCTTCTACTTTACCAGCCTTGCACATCCCTTCAATCATAATGTTATATGTGACAATACTGAGTTCCATTTCACTCTTTTGCATATCTTGAAATACGACCAATGCTTTCTCGAGCTTCCCGTTGTAACAAAGTCCATGTAACAACATGTTGTAAGTCATAATATCACGAGGCACACCAGCAGAAACCATCTCTTTGAAAACTTGTTGGGCATTCTCACAATCTCCAGCTTCGTAAAAGCCTTGGATTAGGGTGTTGTAAGTGACTGTGTCGCCAATCAATCCTCTTTGAGACATCTCACGGAAGAGTTCCATGCCATCCTCTACCCTCTTAGACTTGCAAAATCCATTGATGAGAGTATTATACATCACTACATCTGGGAGACAACCCTTGCTAACCATCAAATCAAACATCTGCTTGGCCTCATCTAGGCGACTCTGCATGCAAAATCCATTGATGAGAGTACCATATGTCACTACATCTGGGAGACAACCCTTGCTAACCATCGAATCAAACATCTGCTTGGCCTCCTCTAGGCGACTCTGCATGCAAAACCCATTGACCAATGAATTGTATGTGAAAATGTCAGGATCTATAGACCTATTGATCATTTCCTTGTACAGTTTTTCGGCCTCCAAAAGCTTCCTCTCTTTCACAAACGCATCGATCAATGCATTGAACGTGACTACATCGGGGTTGATGTTCCTCTCGATCATATCGCTTAGTAGTCGAGAGGCATCGCTCCATCTTCCGTAAGTACAAAGGCAACTTATGAGGGAGTTGTAGGTGACAACATTTGCTTTAATCCCTTTCTTCTCCATTTCACTGAATAGGTCGACTGCGTCATCCACATGTTTGTGTTTGCAGAGACCATCAATAATTGTGCTGTAGATTACAACATTCGGCTCTATTTTGTCCGATTCCATCTTCTTGAGCAGATTCAAAGCCAAATCAGTATGACCTCTCTTACATACTCCGTTTATTACCGCACCGTAAGTAATCAGATCTGGTTGACATCCTTTCAACACCATCCGTTCAACTAAAGACACTGCCTCTGAGACTCTGTTGTGGAGAAACAGGCCATGGATCAGAGTGTTGAATGTGACGGTATCAGGTTGATATCCCATTTTCACCATTCGATCAAGCAGAGATACAGCATCCGAAATTCTATTCCCGTGACAGAAACCAATGAGCAGCGAGTTAAGCGTGACAACGCTGGGATTAAATCCGAGTTTCATCATCTTCCCAAGAATAGACAAAGCATAAGGGAGCTGAGAGGAGCGGCAGAAACAGTTTATCAAAATATTGTATGTATAGTCATTATGTGCAATCCCTAACATTTGCATCTTCTCGCCGAGAGAGATGACAACATCATACTTCTTCATCTTCGCAACGGCACTCATTAATTTACTGAACTCAATAATGGAAGGAAAAGGACGAGACTTTACCATCTCACCGAACAGATCAACAGCATCATCTAACTTAATATCACGAAGCCCATTTCTCAATATCTCTCTGCAATCATCCCTTAGACCAGAGAAAGCTCGTCCCCGGAAACAGAAAACCAACAACGGCCGAGCAATTACAGGATTACCTCGACGGTGAACAAATCTCGTTGCCGGCGATGCTATCGCAATCGCTCTCCTCATCCTACGAATTTGCCTTCAGCTGATTTAGATTCCTTCTCAATCTCTGCTTCACTGTTTCAAGACTCTACCGGTCTGGAAATTGCAAACCTAAACTATCACATAGCAAGCGAGAGCCAGAGAGAAAGAGAGAGACACTCGACACTCTTGGATTTATAAACCGGACTGACTTACGGTTTATTCCGGATCCGATCGGTTAACCAGAAACCGGACCAAGTGTTCTGATCGGATACAGCATTTCTATCGTAACTAATTAAAGCGAGAAACACAGATTTACCAAGACAAGAAATAGATATTATAACATGTAAAATCCAAAAAGATTTATATATAAAAAACAGGAGGGAAAATCTCAAATGTGTTACACAATTTTTACTATATCTTCCTTTGTTTTTTTTTCAGATAGCCGGTTCTGATGATACCGGTTTAGCTCCTCTTGGCGTTTTTAAGATTACGTACTGTCATGACAAGCTGTTGTCTCTCACCTTCGACTTCTGCAAATCTCAAACTTATCTCTGAGTATCTCTCTTGCATCTCCTTCAGCTCCATCTCCATCGATTCATTACATTCTCTCAAAGACGCCATTTCCGCTACCAGAACTCGGATTTCTTCGTTCTCTTTACCATTGTCACTGATCTGTTTCATTGTGAAGAAAAGAAAAAAAAACAAATAAGAGTTAAAAAAAATTTCTGATTTTTTGAAATTGTTGAGTTGCAGATTCGATTTTGATTGTCTTGTTTTTAACCTCTTGGCTATTCTGACTGAGTAGGTCGAGTTCAGTTTCCAGTTCCTCGATTCTGTTCTTCAGATTCTTCTCCTTTTCGATGAACATGTTTGAGGAAGCTTCAAGAGCAGTTTCCTTCAGTTTGATTTGTCCCTGGATCACACAAATAACAAAAGTTTCATGAGCTTGTATCATCGACTTGAATCTGAAATGAATACCGAATGCTTACACATACCTCGAGAAGTTTTATTTTATCTTTCATAACCGAAACTTCTTTAGATGCGCCATGAGCTCCTTTGTTGTTGTTGTTGTTGTTTCTTTGACCGGTTTTGGTTAAGTTGTTTAGTGTGGTTCTGCTTTCCTTCAGCTTCTTTTCGAGATTAGCTATTGCTTCTTCTTTCTTCTTCATCTCACTCTTCACTTGTGAAACTTGCTTCTTGTGCTTCTCCGTCTCTGATTCATTCTCTGATAAAGAATGCTTTAGCTCATCGCACTTGGCTATTACGGTTTCTAGCTCTGTTTGTAAGTTTGTGATTGCTGCTTCTTTTTCTTCCTTGATAAGCTTCATCCCTCGTAACTCCTCTGCTATAGACTCTGATTCTTGCCTCAATGATGCAATCGTGATCTCTAGCTCGTTTCTCCTCGTGGTCTCTCTCTGTACTGAAGCTTCAGCTTCCATAACTGATATTCTTGTCTCTTCCAGCTCAGCTCTTAGGTTCTCTGTCTGTAACATGAGCCTACTTTTGTCCTTCTTCAGGCTCTCAATCTCATCTTTCAGGATTGTGATCTCTTGGTGTAATTTTGTAGTAGCATCTTCTTCGCGCCTCTTGTGAGTCTCTACATCATTGGATTTCTCATCAAGATTCTCTAACATCCTCTCCATCTGACTCGTTAGCTCGTTGAGCTTTGCCTCGTACTCGGCTTGGTTTGCTCGGAGGTCATCGTTTGCGTTCTTGAGCATTTCTTCTAGCTGACGTTTCTGCATCAGTAGCTCGTTAGCTTCCGTCATGGCTTTCATAGCCAATTTTTCATTTGATGCAAACATTGAATCCATCTGCTCAGAGAGTCTCTTGAACTCATCCTGGAGTTTTCCGGCAACACTAGCGTTCTTCCACCTCGTCTTCCTCAGGGCTTCTTCGGCCTGTATAGCTCTTTGCTCTTGCTCCACTTTACCTCGCGTGACAGCATCGATGTCTGCCTCAAACGCCTGAGCTTGCTTCTCCATCTCCTCTTCTAAGTTCTCCATTTGTGTTTCAAGCTCTTTGATCCGACACAAAGACTCGGAAGACTCTTCGGATTGTTTCTTGAGCTCAGCTTCAAGGCTCTCCACTTGGCTTTCAAGCTCTGTCACATCCACAAGAGAAGATGAGCATTCGTACTGCATCTTCAACTGTTCTTGAAGTTGGCTCTGCTCTAGCTTGCATGAGACATCGTGATGCTCCTGTTTCAGTATCTCATAATCCAGAGCAAGCTGTTCCATCTGTATCTCAAGCTCATCTTTGTCACGTTTATATATCTCGATCTCGTTATAGAGATCTGTGATCTTCTGCTCCAAGACGTGTGTATCTTTCGCATCCATGTGTCCCTTCACGATGTCCTCAAGCGCCTTTTGATCCTCGTCTTCATCTGTCTCACTTCCACATGACCTTCTCCTTGATTCTTCAATGCTGTCACAGGCAGCTTCTTTTTTACTCCTTTCCTCCAGCATTGCTTCGAGATCTTGAACAGCAAGAATCAACTCGGAGTTCGATTCTTGCGTCTTCTGGAGCTGTAACCGGAGATTGAAATTCCGATCCTTCTCATAATCAAGCTCCTCTCTTGTCTCCTCCAAAAGAACCCATGGATCCCTTCCTTCAAACTGCAACCTGTTCCTCATCTTACTCTCTCCTATCTTCTTGTCAGATACTTTATGTCTCTCGCAGTCTTCCTTCAACGAGTCTCTCTCCTGCTTCAAGCTGTTCACTTCCCTGAGCAGATCCTGACTCCTTTTGGTCTCTTTGACGATCTGCTTCCTCAGGCTCTGCAGCTCCAGCTCCGAAAGATCCGCTTGCCTCGTGAAACCAGCAAGCTCGTTTCTAAGCTTCTCTACCTCCTCCATGTCAGAAGAGTTTCTCGCGACTGTATCATTGGTCGAGTCATCAGTACTACTAACTCCATGATCAGAACTTCCCGACCACTCGGATTCTGATACACGAGGAGGCTCTTCAAACAAGTTTTTAGCTGCGTGAAGACGCTTAGGAGGGTGTCTCAAAGACTTGGCAACTTCTTCAGGAGTCGTTGGCTCAAAGACACCTTCAGAGCTTGACATGGTGCTATCAGATTCTATCGACGCTCTTCGTCTCAGTTCAGCAAACCGGGCAGCTTTACCGAACGGTCCTTCCTATAAGAGACCAGAGACGGTACAAAGTCAGAAAAAAAAGTAAAAGCATACGTTAAGAAGATTATTCTTTAATACCTCATGCGAATCACTTGCACGAGTTTCATCATCGAGTCTCAAATGTGACCTCAAATCTTGTCCCTGCGATTCATCCACATCTCTGCAAGAACTTAGAAAATAGTAAAAATCTTGCAACAACCAATAGAGAAGAAGAAGAAGAAGAAGAAAACGAAAAGTGAGTCCAGTTTTTTTTTCTGCACCTTTGAGGATCATCAAACTCTAATTGCCTTTGTATTGACACCTGAAAAAAATAAAATATCAGGATTAGTGTCACAGATCATTAATGAAGACACTTAACAGGTTTCAAGCTCTACAAGAAAAGGGACAAAGAAGCTGTTAAGATGCAGACAGTCTTAATGTCTCTCAAGACAAAACATTAATGAGAAAGAGAGAAGAAGAAGAAGAAGCTAACATGCAACAATGCTTTTGAGTTTGAGCTCTGCAGTGGAAGACAGACGTTACACGTTTTAACTGCATCAGCGTAATCAGCAAAATCAATTGAAGTTTCTCCAACCAAACCAGCTCTTGTAGTTCCCTACAGAACCAAAAACAAGATCGTTACCATCTCCAGATCTTCTTCATCAATCAATGTTATGGGATTTGTAATATTTTTTTTTTTAATTTTCCTCACCGTCGTTGATACAATGAGATGATAAATCATCTGGTTAACTTTCCCGGTTTTGGCATCCTTGAGGAATTTCACAGTCTCGTAAACCGGAATCTCCCACCGGCATTGCCCGTCGCTCACCACAGCTTTCTCTGACCTCGCCGTCGGTTTTCCAACATCTCCGGGAACAAGAGACAGAGTCAATCCCTCTGTATTGAACTCAAAAGCCTACGTACAAAAAAGATTCTTTAGCGCCTCAAATCCAATTTCATAAACCCATAGTCATGGATTTTATTGTTCAGATGTGAAATTGAAACCAGTTTCTGGAAAAATTTCGAAAATATACACAATGCAAGAAATATCCATCCCTAATTCGAAACTAGAAAAACAAATATCTCCGACAATTTTTATTTTTTTTATAGTATAGAACTGGAAAATGTTGGAAAATCGATGATCAGTACCTGAGTCGCATGAAACTTCAACCTGAAGACGACTTTGATCCTGTTCTTCTCGTTCCTCCATCTACTTGATCTAAACATCTCCGCATCCGAGTATTGATCGCCGGCGAAACAGAGTTACTCACCGTTGCTCCGGCCAATCTCGCCGGAAACCAGCCATATTACAACACTCCTTTAGTCCAATGCAGAGGAAATGATCAATCCAGTAACGATTTTTTCGGAAGGTGATCCTCCGTACGAGTTGGCTCTGTCGAAACGGAACGAGTTCGACTCAGAGAGAAAGCAAAGAAAGAAGAAGAAGAAGACGCGAACGTTAAGCTGGAGCGGTGGATTTTATATAAATGGGACCTAAAAAAGCAAGCAGATCTAAAGAGAGATGAGATAAATAAACAATTTAACAAAAAATAAAGTACGATACGTTTTTCCATAATTAATTAGTCTTACAATTCTTTAATTCACTAATTTTTCTTTTCTTTGTAATCGTATTAGGAACATCTATACGTTATTCTTTTTGTAGGATACAATAAAAGTGTATTTAGAGATCCATATAATTCATTAGTGTTAGATATAGATGCTATTTTGACTAAAGTACTGTAACAGTAAGAAAGATGGAGTGGACTGGATAATATTAATTCAACTCTACATTTAGTAATTATTTATCCCAATAGTAAAATGTATACTATTGTTTTGATGATTATTAATCATAAAGTAAAATATTTAAAACAGTAATAAAAATTCATTTTATGCAATGATTGATTAAAGAATTTTATTCCAAAAAATACAATTTTTATACATTTACCAAAGACATATACAAAAAAAAATCACCAAGTATTTTATATATATATATACCGACAGATTTGGAAAACATGATCTTATTAATAATAATAAAAGCTGTTTGTTTTGGGTCAAGGGAACAGTAATCGATACGCAATCCGAAATGACATGTTTATCCTCCTCATTGCTGTGAGTAACACTCGACCTTTGTATGGGCATTATGGTAATTGCCATGAATGGGATACTAAGCCTGTTGATCCAACGGTCAACTTTGACTAAAAACTATTTCTATTATCGGATATCTGTCTTAATAATACTTTCAAAACATTTGCGTAGAAATATAGCAGAGAAAATGATGTTTAACCAACAAAATATATTGCTTAGGCTAAGTTTTTTTCTTAGCGAATCATTAAATGGCCTTATTCTTTACATCAAAGAAAAAAAAAATGTGGAAACTTGCTTATGATCATATTGAGTATCGATTAATATATATGACTTTTCAGAGATTTTCTTATCCGGTTTACCGATGCTGCAAAAACTTATAGAACACGAATATTTACAATACATCGTTATATTACATTAATGCAGTAGCGCTACTACGTGAAAAAAAACTGCTCACCATTTTTATTTTGGCAATGCAATCAAATGTTTAAAAATGTAAAATATAATATATATATGACAACCCTTTAGCAAAAAAAAATAATAATAATAATGGTATATATAGCTCATGAATGGTAGTTAGGACTTAGGAGCACAATGCAAAATAGAACAGTAGCAAAAAAAAAAAAAAAGTGATCATATGTGGTTAATTATAGCGATATTCATTATATAACGAAACTGCACAGATATCCCTATCAAATATAAAACGAATTTTTTTTTCAAAAAATATATGTTACACTTAAAACTTAGCATCATCCATTTATATATATATATATATATATATTCTATTTTTCTTTTACTTAACATCATAGTGTTCTTTAATCTTCAAAACTCTATTTAAAATATTGAATAATACTGCACACATTTTTGGCCAATATCACGTATTGAAACTAAATATATAATATGCAATTTTGGATTGAAGTTTTATACGAAAATCCAATATATGTACTCAGTCACTTTAGACGTGTGTGGGGATATATGTCCATCTATAACTCAATAATTCGTGAAATATTAGTTTCATCCTCGGACATGGAACATGCGAATTCATCGAAGTTTTGGGACATCAAACATCCAGATTTTAATGAATTTGTGTTGGACTATACTGTCCACTTTGGGAAACAAATAATTATATTTTTATAGTTTATATTGCGAGTAAGATCTAATCAAGCTGTATATTTTTGATAAGCTTACAAAATTATGATTTCTATTATTATTTTTTATAGATGTAGGTCCACTGAGATCCTGGAAATGAAAACGGTATCCTATGTGTTATTGTATAATCTCGTTACGAAGAATGTATATATATATATATATATAGTTTTGCAAAATGATTATATTAAGGTTTAAGATGTTTTGTTTTTTTTTTTTTGCTAACGAGGTTTAAGATGTTGCCATTTTATTATAACTGATTTCATTTGGCTCAAACTCAGATCTAGTCAAAAAATATTTCATTCATCAGGAATTTTCGAAAATATTTAATTACTTTAACTATAATGAGTTGATCGAGCTAGCAAAATTGCTACATATTTATCTACATGTTACAGTATATGCGCTCATTAGCTATATGGTGCATTATAATTTATCATATCATAAATCTAGTTATGTTCTTCGCTCTTGCTTTTACATTTTCTCAAGTAATTATAGTCTTCTCTTTAATTTTTAAGAAATTGGTCTTCTCTTGTTAACGACCCTGAAAATTAAACGTGACGTATACATGTACATTCGCATGCGCGCATTACACGCAAAACACTTACATAAAACCAAATTGGGTAGTCTCGTAACAAAATGGTTTGGTTAAAACCGAAAAAAGAAATGGTTTGGTCGAGTTTGTATGAAATAAAACTAACGACAATAATACGTATCCGCCTAACTTATATACGCCACAGGTACATCCCCCATTATATACCTAACATACGTGAAATTAATTTAATCGATTTGTGAATACATGTCATACCGATGCATGACAAATGAACAACATAAATATATAATTGCCGAGGAACTGAGATAAAAAATACAAAGATAGCTTACGTGACTTTATATGTATATATCTTTGTTTTGTCAACAACATACATTATATAAGAGATTTGAATTTGTTTGGTGATACAACAACAACACTAATATAAGCTACACATTTTTCTTATATTTAATAAAAAACTTAGTATAGTTGCAAAAGGGTCCTTCCACGGTGGAAAACGTAATGGTACTTAGCTTTGAAATGAAAATTACCCGTTGCTTTAGTTGCTTTACACAGAACTTCACACGTGCCACTCATGCGTGCCTACTCATACATCCCCTCTTTTCTCTTGCTTGAGAAATGATTCTCACACAACAATATCCATTAAGTTATATGGCTGCATATGTAAATATATAACTCAGGATAATAAGGGAGAAAATTAAAGTAAAGTTTACTAAGAATGGTTAAAATGGTAAGTTATAATGTTGATGATCCATTGCGGCTAAACTTTACAAAACACATTTCGTTATGCTTTGTTTATTTGTTTCGTTCTAATATTTCCATATTAGGGTTGAATAAAGTCACGTAAGCTATATCAACCCCCAACCTAACTTCTTATATACAAAGAACAAACATCTCTATCTCTCTCTCTACTTTTCATCTGACATCCTAGTTCATAAGTTTAGTTGACATCACACCTTTATTTGTTAGTAATTAGGAATTTAGTAACGTTGAATGTTCTTTTGCAGACAGCAATAAAGAAATTAAAAGAAAGAATTTATTACTGCATTGCAGATTGAACAAGTGTTCAGTCAAAGACCCATGCTCCTAGTGAAAAAGAAAAGAGTCCATGCATGGTCCTAACGTTAGCAAAATTTATATCATCCGCATTTACTTATATATTATGATAAACATATATATATATATATCTTTGTATATATATTAGCTCGCTTTATGTCGAAATCAGTTGAATTTTCACCAAACAAAGCCAAATGCAATTGAGAAAATACACTCTACTATTATCTCAGATAACAGATGATTTTTTTAGCTTTTAGATCTAATTACGTGATAAGAAAAAAAAAATCCATAGACATCGATGGCTCTACATAAGAGGAACACGAAGCACATGTGTGATGGGGTCACATTCCTAAAACTAAAATTTTTAATGAACCAAAGATCTAAAGATAATGGGGAAGTTGTGTGAAGAGGTCCCAGAAACATTAATGCACAAAACGAATCACTAAGTACCATTTATGAACAAGATTCTGAAATTTGACCCTTTAATTGAGTTTTAAAAGTTACTAATATATATGACATGTTGCAACGAGCTATCGAATGATAATTACTTATAAATGTATTTGTAATGGGTTCTCTTGAATGGATATGATATCTTGCACCATTGTAATATATAGTCGAATTATCATATGATTAATTAAGCATTGTATACTTCATGTAAACCATTAAAACAAGCAAAACAAGTTAATATATATAATTGATCTTATTATTGTTTCCTTTAAGAAATTGCATTTTCTCAAATTTGACATATATTTGGAGAGAGGCACCAATCAACTAAGAAGTAAGAACCAAAAAGATGTGGATGTAATTGTCTTTTATTACGCCAAGATGTGGATTTTTAATGACACCAATACATACGTATATATAATATGCATAATTATATAGACGTGAGAATGGTCTCCTAAACACCTAACTAATCATCATTTCTTTACAATAATTCTTTATTATCAACTAGTAATAGATACCCTCTATCCTCCATTAAATCACACCATCATCATTTCTTTACAATAATTCTTGATTATCAACTAATAGATACCTTTTATCCTCCATTAAATCACACCATCTATCATCAACATCGTATACTAAATCATGATATTTATTATACGTCACACGTACTAAAACTTGTTATGACATTAGATGATTTTTTTTTTGTTAAAGGGCCTGTTAATTATGTCATTATATGATGTTTCAAGTTTATGATTACGTGTTCATTTTTAATGCTAATGCATGATTACAGTGACCACGCATGTGTGCATGGTTTCCAATATTTAACAGTGAAGAAGGAAAAACAAATATTATATGTAAACTGTTGAGGCTGGGGCCAGATTGTTCGTATTTTTCGATACTTTATTCATTTTAATGATTTTCAATACAATTTGGGTATCCGTAATTTCTGAAATCGGATCCATTTTGTTATCCTTAGATGATTGAGAAGTAGAATTCGATAAATTGTCTTAATCCATTGTTAACATAGTAACTATGTCTGCCAGACTGCCGACTATATATAGTAAGATAAAATGCATGAAGCAGAAAAGATTAAAAAGGAAAAGTAAATATAAAGACCTCAATTATATATTTATATCTCTTGGCGATAGCTTGAGAAATAAGGTAAGTATAAATTTTAATCTCCCTTTCAACATGTGATCCTATGAGAGAGACCTTTTCGCTTTATAAGCTCATGTGATCAATCAACTTTTTAACGTATACAATAATAACCTGTTATGTGGGCGGATTTTAAATTTTTGTTATATTTGATTTTAATGAAAACAATATAAATTTTAATAAATAATTCGATTGAGAAAATACTATATAGTGAGTTTCTACTGTCTATGTGGTTTAGCTATACTAGTGTCTTCGGTGGTCACATGAAAGTGAGTTTCTTTTTTTCACTTTTTCAGAATGTACAACCTTATCATTGCGTCTTGGCATCTTACAAAACTAAAGATGTATAACTCTCAGTATTATGAATCGTTAAAGAAAATAAAAGAAGAAAACGTGGGTACTTTTTTACTTTGGTCTAAATACTTTGATAAAGAAAAAGATACAAAAGAGGCAGTTAAAAAAAGAAAAGAAAACACAACCAAGACTCTTCAAAAGATTTTTTTTTTTAAATAGATAAAATTACGTTACCAATTCCATAGAGGATATTTTCTAACATAGAAATGTGTATATATATAATTTACACATTTTATTCATTGTTGGAGATCAGCCGTTCATAATATACTACATTTAAGGCATAAATCACCCTTGTTAAGTGGAGTTGAACATTGAAAACTTCTAAATACCACTAAACCACCACTAATTTGATAAAGATTATATAGTTATTTCATCATTTTTATCATGCTCTGTTAACATTTTATATTACTAATAAAATTTATAAAAGTATCTATGAATTCTGATATAGTTGAAGAGAAGCCTTGGTTACAAAGATGGTTCAAATCATATGTGAGGTGTTGGAGATGGTTAGTTAGATGAGATTAGTCTCAAGAAGCTTGAGTTTAAACATATTTCTCTCAATAACACAAAGCTTGAGGCGGGTTTGTTTATGAAATTAATAAAATGAAAAATAAGATAAATATTTTAATCTTGAACTTTAAACAATTTGGAGATAAATGATAAACTTACCATTTAATTGCATTAGAACAAAACATTTTAACACGGTCCATAGGCTGCTAGGCTCTGTGGCTGAGTAGTAACTTATACTTACATCAATCAACGGATCGATCCACATATTGCAATTTCGCCAGTCTTATATCTATACTAATATTAGCGATTGTAAATCCTTTTTAATTTGTTTAACATACACCGAACGACTAAAAAAAATGGTGTCACGCCGATAAACAATTGAACACAAAATTCTCATGTATATCATCGGTGACCCGAAACTCCTTTTTTGATATAAATTCCAGCGGCTTAGGCGTTTTATTTCCGTTTTCAGGCATACTTGAACCATATCTCGACTTTTTTCCGGCGATAGAAGCAATAGCCTTTTTCTCCATTCTCCGGCGAATGACATATTCTTCAGGTATAAACACGTCCATTTTTTTTAACACACTAAAATAACCTTAATCGCTAGAGTTGAGAGAATTATGAAAAGTGAAAATGTTTTACACTCGCGTTTAGCAGTTTGCAGTTTTTGGAAAAACTTTGTTGTGAATATTTATAGACGATATGAAGCGACTAGGAAGGATAGTATGGAATTTTAGGTCCGAAATTTTGGAATAAACACGGTATCAAAATAAATTTATGTCAAAAAACAATATATGCTTCACTTTATTGCACTCGTGCTAATTGCTAGATACTGATTAATCTATATTATTCTTCAAACGAAATTTCGTTTATACAAACTCATTACATGGATATCTAGTACAATCTTTATTTTGCAAGTCCATTCGTAATCTTGTTAAATTTATCTTTCATGGGCATAATCAAATATAAGTTTTATTCATCCAACGTAATCCTGCTCCTATCCACTTGTTGTGGAATTTTATAATTCATCAAAATTATAAATCTATTTTCTCATATGATTCTCAAGAAGTTGATTGGAGTGCCTCATTGATCATAATGTTCTTTTTGTACAGTCCAAGATTATTTAATAATGTAGAAAATGTAGAAGTCGGGGGCGATCAACTCACTTCTTGATTGCTAACCAATTCAAAATGAAGTCATGTATCAATATAAATAAATATATAAATTTTGATAGATAAGTAAACCTAATTTGCTTTATTCCGTGGACTACAATATATACTATGAGTCTATGCTAATTAGATTATGGGATTTTCTTTTGGATTATTTATCATAATGTATTATGAAGTTAGAATATAGAATCTGATTCGAGGATGCGTTTCTTGGTGCAACTTTCGGCCTTTTGATTGAAATTGGATGGCTCATTTACACTTATAAAAATTAATATAACCACGTTTATTTTTCATGCATAAGTATTATTTTACCTTTGCCATGTCAAGTTTTTTTTTTTTACATTTTTATCATCAGTTGTTGCTCTGATCTGATCATTTTGATCTGCACTGTACTTCGCTTGTATTAGATTTAAGTAAACTAAATACTACTTTACAACATATCCATAACTTGTCTTATATATATGGAGTTTCTAACATGATTGAAAACATTTGGTTATAAGAAAGTTATGGGGGAGTCCTGAAGATAACAAAAGATTGAAAGTTTGTTTTTGGACATTTCTGTACAAAACTTAGATTCTTATATACAGTACTGATTAACTTGTTAACTCAATACTTGGAGCTTCCTTTAAGTACCCTTTTATATATTACTACATTGCTTAATCGAGTCTTTCACCAACCGTAACCCAAACAGTTAATTGTTTTCTTGGAGTAAAAAATATCGATGACATGATACATATGATATAATATATAATATTGGTATGTATATATTGATGGGATTCGGATATAGAACACCCACACCTAACTCGAAGTCATCATTAAACCTATGAGATCTCCACTTCTTCTAGTTGTCTTTAATTAATCTTCAAAAGGTAGTATCTATATTAGACATTGTTCAAAAAAAAGAAGAAGGTAGTTTTTACAAGTAGTTATTATATTTATTTTTAAATCCTTGTAAAACTCTAAAAAAGAGAGTAGATAGTAACAAGAACCAGAAGGCAAACTCTAAAACTATATGGGACAAGATAAACAAGTCAAGCAAGATTCTCCATTACATGAGCAGAATACTATAAAGAATTCTGCATCAAGTCAAAGTATGTCTGAATGTAATATATATATATATATATATATATATATATATGTCGTTTCTAAATTTGTCTAAATAATAAGGTTTTCAATTTTTTTGGTTTGTAGATGAGAATTTTGTTGAGATAGAGAAAGAGAAGAGTCTTACGTTGATTAATGCATGGGAAGAGAACGAGAAGGCAAAAGCTCAAACCAAGTAAGATTTACCAAATTATATATATATAGTACATAGTTTTTTTTTTTTTTTTTGCATTCCAAACATCTCACACAAATATATATTGACGTGAAAAGCAAATTCAAACATATAATTCTATATTATTTTGCATTAACATTTTCGTATTTTATAATTAATATGATTCAAACATAAAGTTCAAAAAAAAAAAAATATGATTCAAACATATAATTCTATACTATTTACATTTTGTTCTTCAATTTAAACAGGGCTTACAGAGAACTTTGCTCCACCGAAGCATGGGAGAACAACATGAAGACAGCTCTAGAGTTAGATTTGAAAAAAATGGAGGTATATGATTGATTATATATAGAGAAATTAGCAATTCGATTCCTTCTTTTAGCGTCTTTAGACATATATTACTATATATTTTTGAACCAAAGACATATAATAGTTTGACATAACCTATGTCTAAATCATTTTAGTATTTACAGGTACAGCAACACCGATATACCAATTTTTTTACCACGATAAATTTGAAGTTTTTCCCTTGCTTATATTCTTTCTTTTTTTTTTGATATCAGGAGACATTAGAAGTGGAGAAAGATGAATATTCAAAAAAACTGAAAAAGAAAATACCGGAAATTGAGAAGATTGCAGAAGCGAAAAGAGAAAAAATCGAGAAACAAAAGGTGCAAGAATCTATCAATCTGACAAAAATGAGTGAGAAGCTAAGTGCAACTCCAGGTGCCTATCCACCTAAAACCAAAACATGTGGATGTTTCTAGATCATTTGTTCTTCTCTCATGGGTCAACTCTCGGCCCATTAACTAATTATTTATTGGGCTTGGCTCATTGATAAGGGAAATGTACTAAACCATTATGTGTAAGAAGCTGTGAACATTGAAGCTTCGATCTACCGTTTACGTGTGTGTATATAATAAAAAACAGTTGGATTTCACTAAACTGTTCTGATTTTTGAATTTTAGAAAACAGTAGTAAACCGGATTAAACCAGGTGGATTAGATGTTCCCCGGGTGAGTGAAATATATGGATTCGGTTACCAGCACGAACCGGTAGAATCGGTTGGTTTTCAAGTTTGATTCCTTAAGAGAATTAGAGATTGTCGTCGTCTCCTCTGCAAAATCGACGTTTTCGTGGCTCACCATCGATTCTCAATTCGTTTGCTCGGAATCACATCTTCTTCTTCAATCCACCATCGTTGCCCAATTTCCAGGTTTCTTTATCCTCTGATCACGTTTCTATCCTCGAAAGAACCAAGTCTTGGATTTAGTCTTCCAAATGATAAATGGGTCACAATTTTTTGGAGTTTTTGTTTTTCCTTTGGATCTTCATACCTTAATCAAGGGGACGATCTATATGCACCAAAATCATATTCTTTTTGCACTGTGGTCAGCTCTAGGAACAAAACCTGATTTGATCAGTTTTGATAACTTAGAAACTTGAAATTTCGTAGATTCTTCTATGGATACAGATTGCATACAAGCAATTATCGTGACTCGATTTTCTGTTAAAGCTATGTTTTTTTGGGGCAATTCAAGTAGAAAGTTTGTGTTTTTGTCCTTTGAAAAGTTACCACTGACCAAAAATAGTTCTTCCTTAGGCCAACAACTCTTTGTTCTTCACTTCATTTCTCAGAATTCATGTTTTTGTATATGCTTTCTTTGACATGGATTTATTGCAGGAATTGTTGTTTGATCAAATCATGTTTCTGTACTAAATGTAAGCCCTGTGTTTATCAAATATTTTTAGATTTGCTCATCAGGGAAGAAGATGGGAGTGTCGCCGAAAATAGCTCCGTCGATGCTGTCTTCGGACTTTGCAAATTTAGCGGCAGAGGCCAAGAGGATGATCGATTTGGGCGCCAACTGGCTTCACATGGACATTATGGTACCACCTTCACCTTTCTTCTCTGAAATCTGAATTTTATTTCACTCTCAAGTAATCACTTTTGACTTATTTTGATAAAGTTCAAGATTGTACCTATCTCTGAAATCGAGTTCGTCCTCCATCCAAAACCTTCTGTTTATTGGGGTCTGTTTTAGACAAATCTGTGGATCCAAACGATCATACAAGACTCCTGAATTTTGTTTGAACATAGTCTACATGGAACCATGAATGTGTGGAATTCTAGTCTGTTGAAGACAAAAGAAACTTATTGTAATCTGCTCTTAGTATGAAACAAGAAGCTTTGTTTTTTGTTGTTGTTGTTAATGGACTTATTTTGATAAAGTTCAAGATTATACCACCTTCACCTTTCTTCTCTGAAATCTGAATTTTATTTCACTCTCAAGTAACATCACCTTGACATATTTTGATAAAGTTCAAGACTATACCTATCTCTGCGATCAATTTGTGAATCCAAACGATCATACTTACTGTAATCTGCTCTAAGTATGAAACAAGGCTTTGCTTTTTGTTGTTAATGTACTTATGCTACATAACCATTTGCTTGTTTCATACTTATTTGCCTACCCTGTTACTTTCATTTTGCAGGACGGGTAAATTTCACTGCCTTAAGCTGTGTTTGAACCTATATCGATTATTAGCATCCGTTCAGATCTAAACTTTGTGTATGATTCTGTGTTACTCGGGACAGGCACTTTGTTCCGAATCTAACGATTGGTGCTCCTGTCATCGAGAGTTTGAGAAAGCACACAAAGTAACTCCTTTCTCTTGAGTTAATATTAACACCTGACATATTGTTTTCTCTCTAGTGGAAAACTTTAATCCTTTCCTCTTTCATGATGTCACAGTGCTTATCTTGATTGCCACCTAATGGTGACGAACCCGATGGATTACGTGGAACAGATGGGTAAAGCTGGAGCGTCTGGTTTCACGTTCCACGTTGAGGTGGCCAAAGGTATAGCAAAAGCTCTTTAATCTCCCCCATCACATTGAATTTGTCTATATCATGTTAATGATCTTGTCTACTCTTTTGCTTGTTTCAAGAGAACTGGCAAGAACTTGTAAGCAAGATTAAGTCTGCAGGGATGATACCAGCTGTAGCTCTAAAGCCTGGAACACCTGTTGAAGAAATTTTTCCTCTGGTATGAGTTTTTTTTTAATCTTAAAGCCTGTTTCCTCTGATATGAGTCTATATCATGCTTCTTTGGACCTCTATGACCAGGTTGAAGGGAAACCTCCGGTTGAAATGGTTCTTGTGATGACTGTGGAGCCTGGATTTGGAGGCCAGAAGTTCATGCCCAACATGATGGACAAGGTTCGGGCATTGAGACACAAGTACCCGACACTTGATATTCAGGTAACTTTAAGGCATCTCTATCATCTTATAGACATCGTTTTAGTTTGATCTTTTCCTTAGACAAATGAGTCTTTATCTCTTGGTTCAGGTGGATGGTGGCTTAGGCCCTTCCACGATCGACGCAGCGGCTGCAGCCGGAGCCAACTGTATCGTCGCCGGAAGTTCAGTTTTCGGAGCTCCGGAGCCAGGAGAAGTCATTTCTCTTTTGCGGGCCAGTGTTGAGAAAGCCCAACCCACCTCTTGAGTTTAGTGCCAGTTTCTAAATTTTTCTATGCACCCAATAAAGGCCCAATAACTCTTAGAAAACTTTCTTCTCTTCTAATAAACTCAAAGAGTTCAGCTGATGAGTGTTGATATAATTCAGAACCTGGTCATTAAATTGTTGGTCATTGGTGTGTTTAAAGTGTGGGGGTGTTTATGTTTATGGAAGATAATAATAATCTGATAAGTATTGTAATGTTGTTTATCATCAAATCAATTGAAGCTCTCTGTTTCAGAAATCAGAATCCAACACACTAATGATGCTAGGTTCGAAACTTTTAACAGAGTTTACAAATTTATCAAACACAAATGCCCGGGAAAATGATCACCTTTGAGGTGAAGAAGATAAACCAGAAAATTTATCATCTCATCAAATCCAGCAAGAACACAAGTTATATGAATGATTCCATGACTCCACACCTTTGAGGTTCATTTTCCAGTCACACAGCCCATTCGTTATGCAAGAATCGGTTTCTGTGTTCATAGCTCATGAGAACAATTATCTATAGTTAGAATCAACGGTTTCAAGATGCAGGTACCTTTTTCACATCTCCTTCATTGGAACAATGGTTCTTAACAACCATCTCTATGTCAGCTTCAGAAGCGCCTGCAAGTTTAAATCTTTCAACAGCTGAATCCAGATTCTTCTTCCAACCATCAATCCCGATTTTGCATTCCACCTGCGACCTTTCAAACAGCATGTTCCCCCAAAACAAATGGATCTGCGACCTCATTGCAGTCGCTTGTTCCGCTGCTTCCTCGGCTGTGATTGCATCTGAGACCTCTTCGTTCCCGTCTCCTCCTTGCTTCTTTCTCCTCTTGGAAACTTCCTCTTTCTTGTTCGAGTTCGGGTCTTTAAGCTCCTCCATCCTCTGTTCTTCAAGCTTCTCCCACATCCTTGTAGCGTCTCTCATCTTCTCCTCCGCGCTATCAAAGAGTTTCAGGGTCTCTGCTGGATCCCAACCCGAGATATCGATCTTCTGAGCTAGCAAGTAAGACCAGTGTAGCTTCGCCGTTTCGAACTGCTGCTGTCCTAACGCAAGCAAGCCCTCGTAAAAATCGGGCTTGATCGTGAGTGCGTGTTCGTACTTATCTTTCGCCAATGTGTATCTCTCCTTCACCCACTCGTAAGCGGTTCGAAGCTGCGACGCAACCACTTCTTTCCCTGCAGAATCGTCCAGAGGAATCCGCTTTCTTGCAGCGCACATGTGAACATTCCCCCAGTTGAAGAAAGCTAAAGCAGCCACTTCTTGGAACTTGGCAGAAGCCTTGTCGAACAGTGGCTGAGCTTTCTCGCTTGTGACCGTCTCTTCGAGCGCCTCTGAGCAAAGCTCCATTCCAAGCTCGTGCAAATCGATATGAGCATCAGGGTCAATACCTACATGAGTGCGGAAAAGATGAGCAAAATCAAACAACCAATCATCCATTTCCAGTTCTTTGGCCTCGGGATCTTCAGAAGAAACCGCATTCTCCTTCTCCACTTCCTTATCCATCTCTGTTGTTTCCGATACTGATTCGCTCGGAGATGACAATACTTTTTCTTCAACACCCTTCTCTTCCTCATCTTCCTCTACCAACACAGGCTCTTGCTCAAGAGCCACATCAACAACATGCAGTCTCAACATCCCAACGGAATCAGATTTCTCGGTTTCAGGCTCTTTCGTCAAGAGACTATCAGCAGCAGATTCCGCCAGCCTCAGCTCCGCGGTTGATGTTATCGTCACCAAATCTCCGTCGTTGTCTTTGTACTTGATCAGAACCGCATTCGAAGACGGGAAACGGCTGCTCACAATCTCTCTCAGTTCCTTAAACCTACAATTCACAGGCATTTGACCTAACCTTATGTCATGACCATATACAAACTTCAACGGCCTCAATCGAACTATCTTCTCTTGAACCTTCCCAACAACCGCCACAGAGGAAGAAGACGACACAACCTTCCGAGCCGCCGCTTGAGCCTTACCAACACTCACCGATCCATTTTCAGTCACCGGTGAACGCTCTACCTTACTAGGCAATGTGGTAACATACCCAACAGGCGAAGCAGCTCCCTTTTTGACGACAGGACGAGAAGGCAAACAAGGACCAAGTCCAGCGACGGGACCGCCTAACGCAGCGGAGGCACCAAGAGCTGCAGGTGAAGGCCTGCTCTGCAAATCTTGCTGAGGACCCAAAGCAGCAGCTCTTAACCGCCGTGAAATCTCTCCGGCGTCCTTGTGGTTAGGGTCAGAGCCTAACAACACACTCACGTCCTCAGCAGCCAAACCAAACTTGCCTACAGCTTCGTAGGCTCGAGCCCTTCTAAGCAAGGCTCGAGAAAAACCAGGCTGGACTCTGAGAGCCGACGTGCACTCAGAGATCACCGATTCGTAATCGATCGGCTTCATCTGCATCAAACAAGCAGCTCGGTTGCTGTGGAACAGGGCTCGATCTGGGTGGCTCTTGGGAAGCAGCTTGATCCCGTTCTCGTATTGCTCGAGAGCGCCGACGTAATCTCTTCCCTGAAACTTTCTGTTGCCTTCTTCCTTGAGCTCGTGTGCTCGTTTCGAGAACACCGAAGCGTCGAAGTCAACACCACCATTAACAATCGCAGGCTTGGATAATCCCGGAGCTTCAGACGAATTGACATGACTCGAATTACCCTTTTTCTTCCTTCCTCCAGATTTCCCCATATCAAAATCTCTCTCCCCCAAAAAAAAAACACAGAGACCCGCTTGAAATGTTCTAAAACTAGGTCAAATCAGATTATTTAAGTTTGAATAATTCGACTTTGTTGTTAGAAATTTGGTTTACTAAAAAAGATAGCAAACCCGGTTGGACCGACCGTACCGTCCGTGAGCCAAAACAAAATTTCCGGTTCAGTTTTTTTTCTTTTCTCTGTCGCCTCTCTCTCTCTCTCGTCTCCGTCTTCAGGTTAAATCCTCTCCCGGAGGTGAATTCACTTCAAAATCGAAGCAAGCAGATATTCTCTGGTATGTTGTTGATTCCATATTTCTTTGTGTTGTGTGTTTACCTCTTCAAAGTTAGATAATGGCGGCTTTCTCCTCTGAAATGTTGTTTTTTTTTCTGGATCTTCGTTTAGTTTGGATACGATCTGAGATTTGTCGTTCTAAATCATTGTCTGCGTATGGGAGATTTAGGGTTCTTATTAACATTATTTTGGGATTTTCATTCGGTTTCTCGATGAGTAGAGCGAAAATTCGTCATCTTGCAGCTTAACGAGACTGCAAAATCAGAAAAGTATTTACCTTTAGTTGATTCTTCTTTAAAAGCTATACTCTTTTGGGTGATCCAACTAAAAAAAGTTTGTGTTTTGTCCTTGAAAATTTACAATTTTGTTGTTGTTTCAGGTTGTATGGATTCATCGCTCAATATTTTTTTGATCAATCCTGTTTGGTACACAATTCACAAGCCTTTGTGTTCATAAGACTGCTCTGTTTCTTCAGGTACCGAATTGCAAAGTCTTTGTCTGCAAAATGTCTCTGCGGAAGCCTCAGACCCCTCGCCTTCTTCTCCAAAACGTCTCTTGTATGAGAAACGCGCAGCAGATTCTAAGACACGTGAACGTATCTCTCCACGACGGTGGCGCACTTGTCTTAACCGGAACCAACGGATCCGGCAAATCAACCTTCTTGAGAATGTTGGCCGGATTCTCAAAGCCCTCCGCGGGAGAGATCCTCTGGAACGGTCACGACATCACCAAGTCAGGGATCTTCCAGCAGTACAAACTCCAGCTCAACTGGATCTCTCTGAAAGACGCCATCAAGGAGAGGTTCACTGTACTCGACAATGTCCAGTGGTTCGAGCTCCTGGAGAACAAAATCGGCAAGGCTCAACCGGCGTTGGAGCTTATGGGTTTAGGGAGGCTGGTGAAGGAGAAGTCGAGGATGTTGTCGATGGGTCAGAGGAAAAGGCTGCAGCTTGCGAGGCTGCTCGCTATCGATAGACCGATTTGGCTTTTGGACGAACCGTCTGTTGCCTTGGATGACGAAGGAGTTAGGTTGCTTGAGTATGTTATTGCGGAGCATAGGAAGAAAGGAGGGATTGTGATTGTTGCGACTCATCTTCCCATTGAGATTGAAGATGCTACGATCTTGAGGCTTCCTCCTAGGTTCCCGAGGAAAATGACTTTGATTGATATGCTTGATCGTGCAGACATTTCTTAGTGGAATAGAATCAAAGAGATTAGGTTTGGTATTGTTTTATTTTGTACTTGTGTAATGGAATGTTTAGTGGTTATTGTCAAGCAAATTTAGTTAAAGTATTTGTTTTTCTTAACGCATAGAACGAGAGATTAGGGTAAGACAAACATAGAATTAATAGCATAATAACTCATAGATTAATCTATAGGCCGCCGAAGTATTTTAACCAAGAATCATACATTCTAAGTAAATAGAGGAAACTAAAGCTTAGATCCTAAGAATGTCATCATCACCAAAATCATCAACTTCATCTTCTTCATCAACACCTCCTTCGTTAAGACGAACGTAATCAGGAATGGTCTGAAAAAGCAATACGCATTATAATTTAATAACATCGCAGCAGATTTAAAATTTTGAAACAAACCTTTATAAAAAGAATGAAACACCAAATCGCAGTCGCTCTTAGGATTTGGCAAGAGTCAAACGTATACGTTTGTACATTGACCTCTCACTTGTATTTGTTCTTATTACTATGTCGTGGCGTGTCTGTTCTTAAACCCCTTCACATCATCGATAACCGAAACAAAGCATGAGCTGTTTTTTGTTGATATTGTCGAAAATACCCTCAATCCATTTTCGTCTTCACCTTTTAGATTGAAGACCCACCCGAGGTTTAAATTCTTACTGGCTCATTTGTTTTCTTGCAATCTTTCGCAAAACCCTGAACCAAAGTTTGCATCTTTCTCTTTCTATTTGTGTTTTTGTCTACTTTTTTTTTTCTTTTTCTTTGGAGGTTTTTTTTTAAAAAAGCAAGAAGCTTGAGAAAATGGGAATGGGCACAAGCAATTTCGTTATCAGATGGGTCAATCTTCTTACAATGGTGAGCTTAAATCTCTTCTTCTTCTTCTTCAATTAGTTTCTATTTCTCAGAGCCGTATTTTGATCCTCCATTGATTTGGTTTGTTGAATTAGATTCTTGGTTTCCGTACAACTTAGGTTATGGTTCTGTGTAATGAAGATTCCTTAGTGAAATTGTTCCACTGCTTGAGTTGTAATAATGTGAAAGCTTCGACCTTTTTAATGTTATTTGTTTCTGCAACTTTCTTATAGTAATGCCTTTTGTATTACAATTTTGTGGTGAAGCTATTGGCTGTGGCAGTGATAATGTTTGGGGTGTGGATGAGTACACACAATGACGGATGCAGAAGGTCACTTACATTTCCAGTCTTAGCTCTTGGTGGTTTCATCTTCTTGATGTGAGTTTTACACTACTTACACAATTTACACAGCAGAACAATGGTGCTTGCTTGCTTGCTTATGATGTTTCTTATTGTTTGCTTGCTTATTGTTCATGAGACGTTGCCTGATTTCATGCTTTTTTCAGATCCATAATCGGGTTTCTTGGTGCGTGCAAGAGAAGTGTGGCGCTTCTTTGGATTGTATCCTTTCACTTGCCATGTTCTGTTTGCTGTGTTCTTTTCTATTGAGAAATTTGAATTTTGGGATCTTCCTTGACAAGATGATCCTCCTTTGAAGTATCTTGTCGTGCTCCTGATCGTTTTGATCGCGATTCTCGTCTTTACCGTATTAGCGTAAGTCTCATGATCTTCCCAAATGTTTAATCTCAAGCAAACTCACCTGTTTAATCGTTGAAGATCTCCTTGAATCAGTTTCTATTTTTTTTGGCTTTTTACAGGTTTATTGTAACAAACAACGGGTCCGGGCATACTAACCCTGGTTTAAGGTAAGTGTAAGCTTTTCCTCCATGGTCACATACCTATTCTCTATGTATAGATCTTTGAAACCTTTCTGCCTCATATTTAGGTACAAGGAGTATAAGCTGAATGATTACAGCTCATGGTTTCTAAAAGAGGTATCATAGTTCATCGTTGCACGAAAGTATCATCCAAACAAGAATGTTTTCTTCCCTTTTTTCGTCCAACTCTCGTTCGATGTTTCAGCTTAACAACACCAACAACTGGAAAAGACTAAAGAGCTGTCTTGTTAAATCCGAGCAATGTAGGAAGCTTTCCACGAAATACAAGGTCTAGTACATTTCCACCTACAAAAATGCCTTAGGATGATCTTTGAAATGTTCTTGATCTTTTCTTTTCGTTATTTCAGACCATCAAGAAGTTGAAATCTGCAGAATTAACTCCGATAGAAGCTGGATGTTGTCGACCACCATCTGAGTATATACATGTCTCTTCTTGTGATTTGATAGATGTTTAATATTTATGTTTAAATGTCTCAATGTTGTTTTTTTTTTTGGCTGTGGTTGTTGTTGCATAAGGTGTGGTTATCCTGCGGTGAATGCTTCATACTACGACTTGAGCTTTCATTCAATAAGTTCGAACAAAGATTGTAAGCTTTACAAGAATTTGAGGACCATCAAGTGCTACAATTGTGATTCTTGCAAGTAGAGCTAATCAACTCCCCTCTCAAAAAAAGCTAATTCTGTATACAATTGTTTCATTCAGTTTAAAGGTGAAACTAAACTAAATTACTCTGCTGGTTTGATTAATTAACCGCAGAGCTGGAGTAGCTCAGTACATGAAAACCGAGTGGAGACTTGTTGCGATCTTCAACGTGGTTCTGTTCGTTGTCTTGGTAAGATGTTTATTAACACACATGAAAAATGAAAGCTTTCTCTTCTTAGAACAACAATGGAGATTTGATTATGAGCAAATTAAACTGATTCGTTTGTTTTCTTTGTTGAAACACGTACAGTCGATGGTTTACTTTGTCGGGTGCTGCGCGAGAAGGAATGCTGCTAGTTACCGAACCAAAGCTTAGAAACTGTGAAAGCCTTCTTCACTTAAATGAGTTCTCTAAAACTGCAGAAGAAGCTTACAACTTCTCTTCATGTTGGTTAATGCTTTTCAAGAGATTGGTTAGAGAGGCACAAGAGCAACAACTTCTCTTCATTCTTTCTTACTCTTGTAATCAATGATGTGAAACAGAGTTGTTATTACAGGAAATATCAAAAGCTAAGTTTTTATTCTTCCTTCATTAGACATAAAACTGCATAAGATTTGTGAATGTTTTGCAAGAGTGACTAAAGTGGCACAAGAACAACTTCTCTTCATTCTTTTTATTACTCTGTAATCAATGAATTGAAACATCATGAATTAACACAAAAATTGGTGAGATTTTTACCAAAATTAGTTGTAAGATGGACTTTGATTAACAAATAACTACACTTTTCATTCTTTCTTACGCTCGTAATCAATGAAGTGATATCTAGAGCTTCAATATCCTGATACCACTTTTCAGTCTTTTATCGGTTTTACTGGTACAATAACAAATACCGAATTTTCGCATAAATCGAACCGGATATATCAGCTTTCGATTTACTACCTTAAACCGGACATTAATCTGAAATGCCCTCCCGTACACCCCCAAAATCTCACTGCCCCCCTCTAATTTCACTGCCCCTCTCTTCATTGAATTGACTATCTTGTCCTTAATGAATAAACAAAAAAAAATCGAAAAAAAAATGACAAAAAATAAAGGAAATTCGGGTGGTTGGTTTGGTAAGAAATTTAATTCAAACTAACCTAAAATTAATTGTCTAAACCAACCAAACCAACCACCAAAATTTTTGCACCTTTCATCGTCATCTTCTTCCTCTCATGTTTCCACCATTGACAAAATCAGAGGTGTGAAGGTTAGTTGTTGCTGTTTCTTATACTATTTTCGATTTCTTGATTGAATTATCAAGTTTATGTCATAGGCTGAGCAAATAATACATAATTTCTTCTCAATTAGAGAATTTCATAGTAAATAAAATTTTAATTTTTTTTTTGCTCATTGGAGCTGCTGAGCTAGTTGGATAAGGCTATTAGAAACTGATATTGTTAATTAAATATGATATCTTGGTTAACTGAGCAATGAATCGTAAAAACTAGTGATGATTCGTATGATGAACTAAATTTCTGGGTACTACTGGGTACAACTAGCACAACTGGATATATTAAGTGAATTAGTACGACTAGGATGAACCAAACTTTCTGGGTACTACTGGTATAACTAGCGTAACTGGACATCTTAAGTACGACTAGTACAACTGGTACAACTATGATAAGATTACCTTACGATTGTTTTGTTCTTTTCAGGGGAAATGAGTAGCAGTGGTTGCACAGTCATATGTTTTGATTATGGGGGGTTCTATTCAAAAGATGGTGATAAAGTTATTTGGAATTCTGTAGAAGATGAGATTCACACTTTAGTGATGAGGAAATCTTTGGAGGATGTCACTTATCTTGGATTAGTGGAGGGAATTTGCAGAAAGGTTTTGATAGATGCAACTACATCTCAGCTGAAAATTAGTTACTATCCAATGGTCTTGAACACGAAGAAACCATCATATATTTGGAATGACGAAAATGTTTTTGGTTATCTACTACAAATGAGTAAGGATCAATGTAGAAGTGTTCTACATGTGGAGTTCATCAAGGATGTTGATCAAAGTCATGGAAGCGTGCATGTTTCAAGAGAGGATCATGGAGTTGACGTTGATGTAGGTCCAAGTAATGATGAGATGTTTTCTACCGCTAGAGATGGTTTAGAAATACCGGACAGTGAAATGCAAGACAATGAAATGCCAGACAATGAGATGCAAGAAAATGATACAGATCCTCTACAAAGATATGAGCTCGTGTATGATGATGATACAGAAGTCAGACATTCTGATGGAAACTCGCAAGTAAGTCATGGATGGGAAGATGGTTTAGATATATATAAAGGTCAAGAATTTGACACTAGGCAGGGACTGCAAGCTCTCCTGCAGAAAGGTGCACATGAGAATGGTTTTGAGTATGAAACGAAAAAGTCTGATCCCACACGTTTCGTGGTAAAATGTTTGGGAGCAAAAGAGGGATGCAAGTGGGGTTTAAGAGCTTCTGTGCGTATGAACTCAAATAGTTTCACTATTGTCACTTACAACAAGGTGCACACATGCTCTCGGGTTACTACAAGTACAATCAGACAAAAAAGGAAAGGCACACCACACTTAGTTGCAACTGTTTTGGCTGAAGACTATCCAGGTCGATTCGTCACACCAGATCCAAAAACGCTGATCAATATGGTTCAAGGCAGGCTTGGCGTGAAAGTATCATACTCGACAGCGCTGAGAGGAAAAAACAAAGCTGCTAATGAGGTGCGGGGAAGTTCTGAGGAGAGTTATCGGTGGCTATATTCTTATTTGTACATGCTAGAGAAAGTGAATCCGGGTACACGGACTTGTGTGGAATTAGATGAGCAGAAAAGGTTTAAATACCTATTCTTTGCATTGGGAGCTTGCATAGAAGGGTTTCTATCGATGAGGAAAGTCATCATTATAGATGGAACCCACCTGAAGAACGTATATGGTGGAGTTTTAATCGTCGCTTCAGCTCAGGATCCTGATTATCATCATTATCCCATTGCTTTTGGTGTAGTTGATGGTGAGAAAGATGCAAGTTGGACGTGGTTTCTGAATCAGTTGAAGTCAGTAACACCAGATGTCCCTGGAATGGTGTTTATTTCGGATAGGAATCCAAGCTTGATCAAGTCAATAAGGGAAGTGTTCCCTCTGTCTCAACACGGGTATTGTGTAAGGCATTTGTCACAGAATGTGAAAGGACACGTTGCCACCCACAGAGATGCATGTGTGAAGAAGTTCATCGAGTGCGCTAAAGCTTATACAGAGGTTGAGTTCGTAAAACTATATAGTGCTTTTAGGATGAAATATCCATCTGCTGCCGAGTATCTAGACAAAAGTGTTGATGAGAAAAAATGGGCAAAATGCTATTTTCCAGGAGAAAGGTACAACATAGATACCACCAATAGTGTAGAATCTATCAATGGTGTTTTTGTAAACGCAAGAAAGTACTTGCTGTTGCCAATGATTGATGTAATTGTTGCCAAATTGGCTGAATGGTGGAACACCCATAGGCAGAGTGCCGCTGAAGTCCCACTGTCACAGAAGCTTGTGCCTTCCGTGGAGAACGAAATGGATCTGAGATGTGTGGATGCAAAGAAACTCATGGTGCAAGAGTTAAACAGCTATCTCCATGAATACAATGTGATTGGTCTTGATGGGAAGAATTATTTGGTTGATATGACTAGGAAAACTTGTTCTTGCAAGTATTTTGATATAGATAGATACCCATGTGTGCATGCAATTGCTGCTGCCATCCATATGAGCAGAGATAGGGAACTTCATCTACAAGATTTTTGCTCCAAATATTATTTGGTAGAGCTATGGGCATTGGCATACTCCAGGACAATCTATCCAGTTCCTCATATGTCTGAATGGGTTGTACCTGAAGAGATACAAGCACAAGAAGTCTTACCTCCGGAATATGAAGTAAAGAAAGGAAAACCGCAACAGAAAAGATTCCCATCAGCTGGAGAATATCGTGGAAGAGGAAGAGGAAGAAGAGGTAGAGGAAGAGGGAGAGGTGGACGCTGGGCTCAATGGTTTGGGATTGATGGAAGTGAAGAGTAATTTATGTTTTTGTTTCAAATTATTTGAACTATGTGTGCAACTTTGTATGACCGAGACTTGTATCCATGTTATTTCTATCAGGTATGACTAGGCACCACTAGTACAACTCTATATTCCACGTCTAATATGTCTGGTACGACTGGTGCGACTAGTACCACTCGTTTCAAGTACAACTAGTTCAACTACATTTTAGTTGTACTAAAGTCCAACTGGGAAGACTGGTACGACTATGCTTTCTACAATAATGTCAATAACACAAGTTGTAAATGTATTTGTAAACATTTTTCCATATAAAATAGGCCATTAAACATTTGCAAACATATTTGAACATTTTATAGTTAAATAAATTTGATCCACGAAAATGTTTGATCCATGAAAATGTGTTCTCTACACAATCTACCTTATACTTTTAAGGTTACTTTGTAAATCTTAACCACACAAACATGAAAACCATGAAAGTTTGTTATTTTATACTAGTTATAGCATTAGAATATTAGTTTATTTACAAAATTTTACAAGTACAGCTAAAAATGTTTAATTTAGGTATGATACTATTGATTACAAAATTTTACAACTTTATGTCTTTAGGGTACAACTCAAAACTGGGTACAACTATGTTATAAAAAAACTGGGTTCAATTTTTTTTTTTTTTGACGGCGCAAACTTGCAAAGATATTTTATCCATTTTTCCTCTTTTGACGGCGCACGTGACTTCATATTTTATCCATTTTTAACTTTATTTTAAACATGTTTTTTTTGCATGCACACGTTTTTTTTTGCTGCCACACGTTTTTCTAGTTGGTCTAGTTCTGCTAGTCGTACCTTTTAATTCAACACATAAAAAAAGACTTGCATAAAATATATATGTCCAAATCCTGAAAAACACAAAGATAAATTCTAACATAGCAGATAATGACACAACAGAAGTTCAAAGGCCTAAGTTACTTAATAACAATCCTTCAACAACCGTGAACGAGTAACCTTCTTTTTTTGCTTGGGAGTCTTACTCTTCTTAATTAATTTCTTTGCTGCTTGGGCTTGAAGACTAGGTCGTTTCTTTATCTTCACCTTCCTAGGAGTTTGGACTGTATCTCCACCTAACAAAAACAAACAAAAATCGATGAAACTCATTATATCAACAAAAATCGATGAAACTCATTATATCGGCACTTACCAGCTAGAGCCTTTTCCATAGCTTTATCCACAGCCGCTAACACTATCTCCGCAGCTGCACTAGCCTCAGCCGCCACAGTCTCCACGGTCTTCGCAGCCTCCATCATCTCCGAAGCTGCCGCAGCCTCAACCTCAGCCTTCTCCGCAGCCTCAACCTTCTCCCTCTTTACAGCCGCAGCAGCCTCCTTCTCCGCAGCCTCCTTCTCCGCAGCCTCCTTCTCTGCAGCCTTCTTCTCTGCAGCCTCCTTCTCCGCCTTCTCTTTCTCCTTCTCTTCAGCCGTGGCTCTCTCCGCCATCTCTCTCTCTACAGCCGCAGCAGCCTCCGTCATCTCCTCTTCAGCCGTTTTCCCTGTGACATAAAAAAAAAGAGTCAAATAAACTTCAATATTCAAAACAAAAAAATTCTCAAAAATTGTTTCTTACCGAAATCATCATTTCCACCATACTGAAAATCTGGAGGATTTCTTTGCTCTTCCACGAAGCTCTCCACAGCTACCAACCTTGTATCCAAACCTTGAATCTTGTCATTAATTTCCTTGAACCCTTCTTCCATTAATTTCATCATCCTTTTCAATTGCTCGGATATTGGCTCAATCACAACTGCAGGTTCTTCTTCAGCTGGCTCACCTATTGCCGCACCTTCGTTTTGGACATCTTCTTCTTGGACATTTTCTTTTTCGACAACTCGGGATTGAACATCGGCCATGAAGACATCCTCCCACTGTATCTTCCCTTGTTGGCGGACTATAAACTTGTTCCACCCATCAATAATAGGGTCAGCTACATCTGAATCATCCTTCAGTTCAAAGTCCTGCCACTGTGTCTCTTCCATGGCCCTCTCTATGAGATCTACTTCCTTACCCTCAGCAGTCAAAATACTAGTAATGTCCTGAAGTATAACGGAAAAAAAATTAAACCGATTAGTACGACTAGTACGAATATTAGACCAACTACCGTCAAACTACTGTCAAACTAGTACGACTAGTACGAATATTAGACCAACTACTGTCAAACTACTGTCAAACTAGTACGACTAGTACGAATATTAGACCAACTACTGTCAAACTACTGTCAAACTAGTACGACTAGTACGAATATTAGACCAACTACTGTCAAACTACTGTCAAACTAGTACGACTAGTACGAATATTAGACCAACTACTGTCAAACTACTGTCAAACTAGTACGACTAGTACGAATATTAGACCAACTACTGTCAAACTAGTACGACTCCAATAACAAAAAGTAAAATACCTTTGTATCTCCAAGATGCTCATTTATTGAACCCAGCGAATATCCAGTTGTGCCAGTCTGCGTGAACTCCCATTTGCACATTCTTGGACAATCATCATCTGCATTTGTTGCTTTCACCCGAAATTGTGTCTTCAGGGTTGGAATATATTCAAACGCCAAAATCTGCACATATAATTAGACCAGTTAGAGTAGTTGTACTATTAATACGAAAAATCTGCATATTTAATTAAAACAGTCGGACGAGTTGTACTATTCAGACTAATTAAAACAGTAGGAAATACGACTTACTTCCAAAGGGTTGAGGAACCCAGGAAACGTCCAACTCGCTTTCTCTGGGATCGATCCTTTGAAATGGTTCGTCATATGAAAAATCTCCTTGATGTTGTCCTCGAAAGTAAACCGTCCCCACGGGAATGTCTCACACAGCTCGAGATTATCAATCATCCTCAGAATAAAAGGCTCTATGGCTACTCCATGCTTTGATCTCCCTCTTATCACTGTCGCCAAGAAGTACAGGACAGCTATCCTTAGCCGATTCCTAGTGTCACTATACCTCATCCCTTGAAGTGCTTTTAGCACAACTTCAGCAGTAATTTTTTCGTCTTTAAAATGGTTCCTAGCAAACCTCTCGCCACCTAACTTTGGGTAATTCGCTGGATACTCGTGGCAGTACAGTCCCGAGAGGAGAGCATGCTCTCTGATGGAGTATCTAATGGGCACTCCATTTACCACAAACCAAGCCTGTCTATCCTTCTCCGTTTGTACCGTGCGTAGAAGCAACATCCACAGCCCCATCACCTTTCTTGTTGCATAAGTCTTCATGTGAAACAGGTGCTTGAACTGCGGGTGGTTCAGAAACCAACTCTTCTCATCCTCTTCCAAAGTTGGAAATACTTCCTCCTTAAATTTGTGTTGCAAGCATTTGGTACTTAGCTTACATCCCTTTTGGTATTCGATGGGATTGAAGAAATATCCGAGAGGCCGCATTGGTTCTTCCACATCATCATCGTCATGCTGCAAAAATAAGAAAACCGATTTAGTACGACTAGTACGATTACCAGGCCAACTACTGTCAAACTAGTACGACTAGTACGATTACTAGGCCAACTACTGTCAAACTAGTACGACTAGTACGATTAGTATGACTACAATCTAGTATGACTAGTTGACCTACTCCTACTACTCAGGCTCGACATTTCATTCAATCCAATTATACTAGTTGAACTAGTTGAACTACTCATACCAGTCGGACTAGTTAGACCCAATTATACAACAAATTAGGGTTTACCGATGGTGGTGGTGGTTGCGACGATGAACCGATTGCCGGTTCTGAAATCGAAGGCGGGCCGGTTGCCGGTTGCACCGCCGGAGGCAGACTTTCTTCTGCTGGTTCAGTCGCCGGAGCCGCCGGAGGCGGAGCATTGGATTTTGACTTCCGCGACTTCTTCTTTTTTCCTCGCGGTGCCTCCAGACGCTTCTCTCTCTTTCTTTTCTTCTTTGCCGGTAGATTTGAATTCGACGGCAGGGGATTTTCTTCTTCTTCTTCGGTCACCGGACCCGGCGGAGGCGGAGCACTAGAAGTTTCTTCTGTTGATTTCGATTTCTTCTTCGGCTTCTTCTGTTTTCCTCGCGGTGCCGCAGGAGGCTTCTCCGCCTCTGTTTGCTTCTCCGTCGGAGGATTTGAACTTGACGGTGGTGCCGGCGATGATGTATGATCCGGCGAAGGCGGTGTTCTTCTCTGAAGCCATTTCGTACGCGCCATGAGATTGATAAGTGGAAATTGGTGGAAATTAGTGGTTTATCAGAGAATATGAAAATGAGAGTTAGCGGTTTTTGAATCGGAGAAGATAAAAGTTGGAAAGGAAGAAATTTGATCGAAAAATCAGGGAAGGGGAAGTTGTTTTTGGTTTGGGTTTGGGCTAGATTTAGATTTAGGTTTGGGCCGATTTCGATTTATGTTGGGCCAAAATCCAATAGATATTATTTGGATATTGTTCGTAATTTAGAGGATTTCGGATACCTTCCATCGTTATTTCACGTATTTTGGTTTTAAATAAAAATCAAAAAAAAAAGAAATCTTATAACAAGGGCATATTAAATTTATTTGGTGTACGGAGGGGCATTTCAGATTAACCCCCTTAAACCCTAAAGGCTAAAACCTCAGGGAAAAAGGCATCTTGTCTGTTCTTTGTTTCTTTCTTCGTATTTAGAGTCACCGGAAATGTACTCGTCAATTCTCCGGGAACGATCCGGATCCTTCACTGGGTCTTTATGGAGCCGGATCATCTCCCGAAACATGGGTGGTGGTCCCAGAACCTTCCCAGGAGGTCTCAACAAGTGGCAATGGAAGCGTATGCACGAGAAGAAAGCCAGAGAGAAAGAGAACAAGCTCTTGGATCAAGAGAAACAGCTTTACGAGGTTCGAATCCGGTCCGAAATCCGAGCCAAAATGATGGGGAATACCGATTCCGGCGAAAAACCGGCGAAATCGAGCCAGAGTCACGGTCCGTTGAGCCCGAATGAACACATAAAGTCCTTGGCTGATCGGTTTATGAAAGCCGGAGCGGAGGATTTGTGGAACGAAGACGACGGGCCGGTTAAGAAATCGACTGATAACGCACGGTCAGGTTCGAATTCGATTGATTCTTCTTCTAATTCGCCGATCGATGTGAGGAGATTGTTTTCTGAGAACAACCGTGCTTCAATGGGTAATAGTCGGATTTTCGATCGTACTAGCAGAGGCTTCTCGAGTATGAGTAGAGGTAGATTTAAGAGAAACGAGAGTTCTTGTGATGAAGGAGATGACTTCGATGCGAAGAAGTTAGATACTCTGAGTCCCTTTTCTCCTAGCTTCGCTGGTAAGAAGGAGAAAGTGAAGAGCTCGAGTAACGTTAGCGGAGTTATGAGGAACAAAGGCTTGTTTAGTCGGAGGAAGTTTAGGAAGAACGATAGCTCAACTGAAGAAGACTCCGAGGAGGAAGACGGAGGAGATGGTAAGATGAAAGGTTGGATGGATTTGAGGAGAACAGGGAGCAGCGCAGCGTTAGGAAACCACGATGTCACGCTGACGAAAAGAGTGAACCGTAATGTCACTGACGAAGAGCTTTATCCTCCGCTCGATATCAACGTCGTTAGAGAAGATCTCAGTAAAAGAAAATCTGTAGAAAATGCAATGGAGGAGAATCGAGAGCCTCGTGACTCCATTTACAGTGGAAAAAGGTATATTATATCAACAACACACATCGTCCAAGGCTTTTTAATTTGCCGAAGTTTTGATCTTGATGAGCTTTTCTTTTTGCAGATTTGATGAGTCTAGTCTATCTCCTTTGACTCTAAAGGCTCTTTCTGCTTCTGGCATTGTGAAGATGACTACAGTACAAGACGCAACTCTCTCTGAGTGCCTCGACGGTTTGAATTCTTCTTGTTTGGTCCTTATCTTGATTCCTCTGCTTCGGTTCTAGCATTTGACAAAGGATTGATCTTTAATGTGAAGCAGGTAAAGATGCGTTAGTGAAAGCCAAAACCGGGACTGGAAAAAGCATGGCCTTTTTGGTATTTTACAATCCTTTGCCCGAGTATGATGGGAATTAGCTTTTGTTGTTTCTTTAGATAACGCTGTTAAAATTGAAAAAAACAGCTTCCTGCTATTGAAACAGTTCTGAAAGCTATGAGCAGCAGTAATGGCGTACACAGAGTTCCTCCAATATTCGCTCTTGTCCTCTGTCCTACAAGAGAACTCGCAAGCCAGATCGCTGCGGAAGGCAAGGCTCTGCTCAAGTACCATGACGGGATCGGTGTTCAGACTCTGATCGGAGGTACACGCTTCAAACTTGATCAGCAGCGCCTAGAATCCGAGCCGTGCCAGGTTTGGTTGCTCCTGATTCTTGATTTTTATACGAGAACTGTTTGTGTTGTTATATGGCTGATCTTCTTTTTCTCTCTCCTGCACTTTGTTGCATGCAGATACTAGTTGCAACTCCGGGAAGACTCTTGGATCATATAGAGAATAAGTCTAACATAACCTCGCGTTTGATGGCGCTTAAATTGTTTGTAGTCGACGAGGCTGATCTCTTGCTAGACTTGGGATTCAGGAGGGATGTTGAAAAAATCATAGATTGTTTGCCTCGTCAAAGACAATCTCTTCTCTTTTCCGCAACCATTCCTAAAGAGGTATAAGTAACTCTCAATGTCTTTTGCTTACATTGATTGAATCCAATTTGGAAAAAAAACACACGGTTTGAACTCGGTTTAATGCAGGTCCGTCGAGTATCTCAGCTTGTTTTGAAAAGAGATCACTCTTATATCGACACAATAGGTCTTGGTTGTGTAGAGACCCATGATAAGGTTACTTAAAACTCCTTCATTTTGTCTTTAAAAAAAACTTGATTCTTGAATCTGGTTACTGAGTTGCTTGCTTTGGTTTCTCAGGTGAAGCAGTCTTGTCTTGTTGCTCCACACGAATCTCATTTCCACTTAGTACCTCATCTATTGAAAGAGCACATCAGCAACACGGCCGATTATAAGGTAATCAAAACTCGTAAAGAAACACTTTTTTTTGTTTCTTCTTACCTTTATATTTCTCTCAACTATCCAATTTCACTTTCTCAGATTATAGTCTTCTGTTCAACCGGTATGGTCACATCACTGATGTACACTCTGCTCCGGGAAATGAAACTGAACGTCAGGGAGATTCACGCTAGAAAACCACAGCTCCATAGAACACGTGTGTCGGAGGAGTTTAAAGAATCGAAAAGACTGATTCTTGTCACATCTGATGTGTCTGCTCGTGGAATGAACTATCCAGATGTTACTTTGGTTATTCAGGTAAAGGCACTACAAATGCGAAATCATTTTTCGTTTCAAGATCAACTCTTAACGAATTTGAACTCGGTTTTATGTTGTTGGTAGGTCGGTATACCGAGTGATAGAGAACAGTATATACATCGGCTTGGTAGAACCGGAAGAGAAGGCAAAGAAGGCAAAGGGTTGCTTTTGATTGCGCCATGGGAGAGATATTTTCTTGATGAGCTTAAAGATTTGCCTCTTGAACCAATCTCAGTTCCTGATCTTGATTCAAGAGCTAAACTTGAGGTTTGTTTGAATTTGTACTTTTATATTACAAACCGGAGTTTTCTTTTAATCGCCGATTGTGACATTGAGGGATGACTATGTGACCAGGTTGATCAGTCCATGGCTAAGATTGATACAAGTATTAAAGAAGCAGCGTACCATGCTTGGCTCGGTTATTACAACTCGGTTCGAGAAACCGGTAGAGATAAAACCACGCTGGCTGAGTTAGCTAACCGGTTTTGCTATTCAATCGGTTTAGAGAAACCACCTCCTTTGTTCCGCAGAACCGCGGTTAAGATGGGTCTCAAAGGTGTTTCTGGTATTCCAATACGAAAGTAAACCGAACCGGATTTTGTTGATTACATTATGTTCTTTCTTCTTGTTGTAAGCATAAATAGTAGTTTGGTACGAAATTTATTAAATTAAATTTTGTTATTTCTTCAATCTCTTAGTCTTAATTCTGGAGATTCTGATGTTTTGTTACACAGAGCTCTGAAGAAGTGAGTTCATAAGGAGTCGATACGACGATTCAGAAAATCACTACAGTAGTTTCTTCTTAATAATAGCAAAAGATGTTAAAAGTTAAAACTAAAAAATACTTATTTAAAGAGGATTTATTACTAATCAATGCAGTAAAAAAAAGGAGATTTCTTTAACAGTTATATAAACGTCAGACTGTTTAATCTAAAACCCTAAGCAACTTTTCGATTTCCAGAAAACTCTTCATCTTCTCCGCGCTCGTCTGCTTCCCCCATCTTCGTCGTACCCGCTAAAACTTAACCTGGATAATGGCGGAACCGGAGATTCGCTGCGTGTTTGTGGAGACGAACCTGAACACTCATCTCGGGGTTCTCGTCGTCAATCATCACCAAACCATCTCCGAATTCAAAGGTGAGAAAATACTCAGTCTCTACATACTCCATTGAAACCGACTTCTAAAACCTTTTGGGGGTTTTTTTTTCCGGCTACATTGTCACTGCGTGTTCTGATTATTATGGGTTTATATATAGAGATTCTATGCACAGAGCATCAACAATGTTTTCCAGAACTCGGAGAAATCAATATTTCCGCGGTTAAGGTACGGCTTTTTGCTTCGTTGTTTCATAGAGTTATTGTTTTATGTTATCAAAAACTAAGGAGTGGTTTACTTTTACTTAATCAGGTCAAGCATCGAAATCGTTTCTTTCACTTGTCAGATCGTATGATTTTGTGTAAGCCTTTTGAAGGAATCAATATAAGCTGGTACGTCTACGTCGATGCCACCGCGAGAGTTGACAAGCGTGATGTGCTGAGTTTAATGGATGCCGACCAAAATGGCTCAAAGTCAAACCATGAGTTGGTCGAGAAGAAGAGGGAGATTGCAAAAGACTCTCTACTTTTGGATGGGTATACCAAGAATCTGACTCCTGAAGATGGTTTTGAAACTGAAGTAGCTGAGAAGACAACAAAGAAGAGGAAACTGAAAAGTTCGGATGGGGAAAAAAGTCGAAAGAAACCTTCAGTTGATCTCAGTCAGTCCGCTGCTGCTAAGACTGCTCCAAGAGTTGATATTGTTGATGAGAGTCGTGAGTTTTGTGGAAAATCTCAGGTTGACATTGTTGCTTCTGAGACTTGTGCAGTACTTTCACCGAGAGAAAAGCTAGATGATGTTCTTATGGGAGCAACAGGAAAAGGTAACTTATGGTTTAGTTATGTGGAATATAGTGATTCTTGTTATCAGATCTTATTGGATAGTGCCTGTTCATTAACCTCTGACCAGTTCTTTTAATGAATATAGTTCAGCTGTTCTATTACTAAGTCGTATTGTTATTGCTGATTCTGTGCAGAACATGAAATGGTTGAGAAATCTGTTGAAGATGTAGGAAGAGATCAAATGGAAACTGATAATGTTGCGAGCCACCCGGAAAATCATTTGGACACTAACAGTGGGTTGATAACCAGACCAGATACAGAGGAGAAGAAGGATGCCGACCAAAGTTGTGTGAACCATGAGGTGCTTGAGAAAAAGAAGGAGATTGCTATTGACTCTGTACTTTTAGATGGGCATACCGAGAATCTGACTATTGAAGAAGGTCTCGAAACTCAAGTAGTTGAAAAGACAACAAAGAAGAGAAAACTGAAAAGTTTGGATGGGAAAAAAATTCGGAACGAGTCTGCTGCTCCTACAACTGCTTCAAGAGTTGATGTTGATGAGATTCACGACTTAGGTGGAAAAGTTGAGGTTGGAGTTGTTGCTTCCGAGTCTTCACCGACAGAAAAGCTAGATGATACTCTTACGGGAGGAATAGGAAAAGGTAATCTTTGCCTTTTCAATTTTATGGACTGTAGGGATTCTTCTTATCAAATCTTATTGGAGAGTATCTAATCTTTATCATTTGATCAGTTCTTTAATGAATGTTTCTATTATCAAGTTATAATGTTTTGGCTGATTCTGTGTAGAAAATGAGATGGCTGAGAAATCTGTCGATGATGTGGGAAGAGATAAAATTGAAGCTGAAAAAACAGCGAGCATCCCGGCAAATCATTTGGACGTTACCAACCCCGAGAAAGAGAAGAAAAAGAGGCGAAAGAAGAGCTCAAAAGATGACGTCAATCAATCTTCTGCTGCTGCTACTACAACTTCAAAAGATTTGGTGAATGAGATAAACGGAGTTCTTGGAAATGTAGATCGTGTTGATGCTACTGCTGATTCTCTTCCAATCTCATCAGCAGGAGGAACTCTTGGCAATTCTTTTGCAGAAGCAACACAAAAAGGTAATTTCGGTTCTTTTACTGAAATTAGTTTGCCTATACAATCAGATCTCAGAGACTTTTTTTTGTTAACGTAATGTTTTTGCTGATTATGTGTAGAAAATGAGGTGGTTGAGAAAATTGTCGAAGAATTGAGAAGAGATAATATTGAAACTGATAGTGTATCGAGCCACCGAGCAAATCATTTGGACGCTAACAGTGGGTTGGCAACCAGAACAGACACAGAGAAGAAAAAGAGGCAAAAGAAGAGCTCAAAAGTTGACATCAGTCAATCTTCTGCCGTTCCTACTACAACTTCAGGAGATGTTGTGAATGAGACAAACGGAGTTCCTCGAAATGTTGATCGTGTTGATGCTCCTTCTGAATCTCTTCCAGTCTCAAGAAGAGATACTCTTGGCAATCCTATTGCAGAAGCAACACAGAAAGGTAATCTCAATTCTTTACTGAATTTAGTTTTCCTTCCCAATCAAATCTTCTCGAGTTTCTACTATCAGCACATAATGATATTTGCTGTTTGTTGGTTGATTTTTGCTATTCTCTAAGATTTCATTGGGTGTGTTTTTATCAACTTATATGATGTAATTGCTCGTGTAGAAACTGAGACGGGTGAGAAGATTGATGACGATGTGGGAAGTGGTAAAGCTATACCAAGTGCTGCAGATAATATACAGACAAATAATGTTGAAATAGATGCTGATAAGACTAGATCTGTGAAGTCTACTAAGAAGAAAAAGTCCAAGAAAGACAAGACTCTTTCTAAAGAAGATACCGTGATCGCTTCTGGTGAAAATGTTGAACCTGTCAAAGTTGTAGATGGAGAAGAGCCTGATACTGTTATCAGAAACGTATTAGATTCTTTGCAGGAAAGGAACGAAACTGAGGAAAATCTGGAAAAAATTGTGAAGAAATCAAGCAGGAAATCGAAGAAGGTTGTGGAGGCCCAAGTGTTGCCAGTTGAGGTTAACAATGCTGCTCTGGAGGAGACTCCTGTCACTCCTCCCATCAACAACCCAAAGGACACAGATGCATTATTCACGCCAGCGAAGAAAGATGCTGAGAGCGATGCTCTGCATTTGCAGAAGGGTACTGAGGCTGCTGATCAAGTGAAGGCTGATATGGGAGACAATTTTGCTTCTAGCCAAAAGGACGATATTGTTGGTAGTGTTGAGAAGCAAGATCAAGTGACTGGTGGAGCTAAACCTAAAAGGGAGAAGAAGAGGGTTGATTTACATCCAAGCGGTTCCATTGATGGTTCATTGAGCTCAATGAAACCGAAAGAGAGAAAAGGTAGAGTTCAACATGATATTGAGCCAGCTAAGAAAGATGCCGAGAGCGATGCTTTGCATTTGGAAAAGGGTACTGTGGCTGCCAATAACACCGAGGATAATAATAGCCTCTCAAAGCAAATTCAAAAAGAGAAGGCTGATATGGGAGACAATTTTGCTTCAAGCCAAAAGGTCGATACTGTAGGTGGTGGTGTTAAGAAGCAAGATCGAGTGACGACTGTTGGAGCTAGATTGAAAAAGGATAATTTGCATCCAGGCGGTTCCATTGATGGTTCGTTGAGCTCAATGAAACCGAAAGAGAAAAAAGCTAGAGTTCAGCCAGCTAGTTCGGGTACTAGTCATCTGCAGTCGAGGGTTAAGAATGATCGCAGTGGATCCGTGAGAGTTGATGTCAACAGCAAGAAGGAAGCTGTGAAGAAAAGCATCAAACCGCTCGCAGTGGACAAGAGTAAGACGAAATCGATCACAGTGAACAAGAGTAAGACCAATTTCTTCGACGGTGCTGAGAATGAATCAGAGGATGAATCTAAGACTTCGAATGTCTCCACCAGAACGCCATCGGATAGTTCTTCAGACGATGATAGCGATGTGACTTCTACGTCTAAGTTGCAAGGTACAGTACAGACCCGAATCTTACTTTAAATCATATGCTCTCTCTCTCTCTCTCTCTCTCTCCCTGTACCAATATGCTAATTTGCGAATGTTAATCTTAACAGGAAACAATTTGGCTGGAGGAACGAATAAGTAAGTGGGCGATTTAACGGTATTATCTTCAAATTTAGCTACAAACGAAACTAAATGGTTTTGTGAACAGGTTTTCAGGGAGCCTGCAAGATATACTGAGAAGATCAAGCAGTTACAAGAAAGCTTTACTGAGAGCTTCTCAGTCACAAGCCGATACGTCCGACGATGAGGGCACTGCGTTAGATTTTGTTCCAGATAGCCAAGCCGTCTAAGTTTTTTGATCGATGATCCTTTTGTTGGTTTCGGTTCAGTGTTGACATAAACCTGAACAAAAATATGCTTAAATCTTCAAAATCACAGTTTTTGTTTTTGCTTCCTTCTCTGACATTTTGTGCTTGATCAGGAAGAGTTATTGTTGCAACAACTACATGTTTAGTACTTTGGTTAGTGCGTAATATTTTTGTTTCAGGTTTCTTTTAAATTTAACAATTTTTTTTTGGTAATTCACTTCTTCAGTTTAGTGTGTGTTGTTTGGTTCTTTGTAATTTCAATCAGATAAATTGATAATCAGATGTTAGCAAAACTTAACAAATAAACTTAACCTTAGCAACTTCCAATATATAAACCAGACCGGACTGGTATTGGGGTTTACGGTTCGACCGGTAGTTTTAGGTTTTCTGTCACACAATCTTGTCGTGTCGTCGCCTCCTTCGAATGAGTCAACTGATTCTGGGTTTATGCAATTTTCAATTTCAACACCATACTTGACTCAATCGAGAAGCCAATTTCTTCTTATTCGGAGCAAAAGATATTAGCTTTCTCTATTTCAATCCAAGAATGAGTAGTGCGTTGAGCTTTAGTTCAATTTGCTTCGAACAAGGATGCTGGTTCAAGGTTTTTCTTCTTTCTACCATTCTTCTTAATTTTTCACTTTTCCACATTTATACAAATGTGTGTATTTTTACTTGAAATGAATTTTACTCTGTTTCGCAAAAAGGAGGGAAGGAAGATTGGTGTAGCGGATAAGCGAGCCAAGAGGCCATCTTCAATGAGCTTCAGAGTTTCGGCCAAAAGCTCCGTTAGTTCTGAAAAGGATATTCGGATTGGTCTTCTTGGTGCAAGTGGCTACACTGGTGCTGAGGTTTGTGCAATGTTGAAATCGCCTGTTTCAAAATTTAAATTTCATTTGGGATCTCTTTGATTTGCTAGATTGATTCAAATCCGTGAGTTAGTGATCAGGAAATGTGCAATGTTGAGATCGTCTGTTTCAATTTTAACAAGGTTTGCTAGTTTTAGTGATCTCTATGATTCTTTAAACGAATCAGAGCTTAAGTAGTATGCATCTAGTTGCAAGTTTGTGGCTTTATGGCCTCCTTCTTTAGTTTAAGCAGTGTACATATGCAAAAGCTGTGACTTGTGAGTTTATCTTCTTTATAGTCATATGCTTTATTGTCATCAATGGTTTGAGACATAATAGTCATCAGTTTTAAGGTTATAGAATATTATGTGTGAAAGACTGAAAATTATGACGTGTGAGGTATCTATGGTTTGATTCATACGCATGAGTTAGTAAGTTTTGATTATGGAATCCCTTTTTTTCTCAAATGGTAGATCGTCAGGCTTCTTGCAAATCATCCGCATTTCGGTGTCACACTGATGACTGCAGATAGAAAAGCTGGACAGTCAATGGAAAGCGTTTTCCCGCACCTCAGAGCTCAAGTATAATCGATTTCCATCTGTTCAATAATACTTTGGTGATGAGGCGTATTGTGTGATCAATAAATTAAAAACATTTTCTTTGTCTGTGTATCCTCAGAAACTACCTAGGTTGGTCTCTGTAAAGGATGCAGATTTTTCCACTGTGGATGCTGTATTCTGCTGTTTGCCTCACGGAACAACTCAGGTCCATTTACTCTTTTGATTCTCCCATTTCGAAAACTTTTTGCTTTTCGTAGCTCAACGGAAATGCGTCTGTGGTTTTCGCAGGAAATCATCAAGGGACTGCCCACAGCTTTAAAGATCGTTGATCTTTCAGCGGTAATGCTCTGAAGCAAAATTGTTTTTTTTTCTTCTTCTTTTGACCGTTCTTTCTTCTGGTGATATACTTATTTGAAGTACGCTCTTTAGGATTTCCGGCTGCGTGATATCTCGGAATATGAAGAATGGTATGGTCAGCCACACAAGGCAGTAGAATTACAGGTGCTTTTCTCTTGAAAGCTATTTGGTCTCTTGTGTTCATAATGCTTTACACTTACTGAGTCTCTTCTCTTGCTTGGTTCAGAAAGAAGTTGTGTATGGCCTAACAGAGTTACTAAGGGAGGACATTAAAAAGGCGAGACTTGTGGCTAATCCAGGCTGTTACCCGACTTCGGTCCAACTTCCTCTTGTTCCTCTGATAAAGGTTTCTCCTGTCATTTCTTTTTCGGAATTTTAGTTTTATCAGACTGTCTTGTCTTTGATTCAACTTTAGGTAATGTTTTGATTTTTTGGTACAGGCAAATCTTATTAAGCATAAAAATATTATTATCGACGCAAAGTCTGGTGTTAGTGGAGCAGGTTTGAGAGCTTTACTTTTGTAGAGTTTGTTCATGAACAATGATGCAATAGAATGTTTTTGGTTTCTTGACTGAATATGAAGATTTTCATCAGGACGTGGCGCTAAAGAGGCGAATCTTTACTCTGAGATAGCTGAAGGAATTTCTTCTTATGGTGTCACACGGCATCGCCATGGTATATATATATTCAAAAACTGATTGATCACAATGAGTGAAAAAAAGTATAATTTTTATGTTTTGAATTCAGTGTTTCTTATGATGTTTTTGAACAGTTCCTGAAATCGAACAAGGGTTGTCTGATGTTGCACAATCAAAAGTAACAGTCAGTTTCACGCCGCATCTCATGCCAATGGTACACATAAATCTTAAACCCTGTTTCTCTATAGTTTTCACCTTAAATCGTTACTTAGACCGAAGAACCCTCGCTGTTTCGGTAGATCCGTGGAATGCAATCGACTATATATGTGGAAATGGCTAATGGGGTTAGAACCGAAGACTTGTACCAGCAATTAAGAACGTCTTATGAGGTGATGATGATTATTACTCTTTTGTGCTATATATAAGCCAATAATGACTAGTTTTGTTACTTATTAACGTTTCAAAAACGTTTTTTTGTAGGATGAAGAATTTGTCAAAGTGTTGGATGAAGGAGTTATTCCTCGGACACACAATGTTAGAGGATCCAACTATTGCTATATGAATGTGTTTCCTGATCGAATCCCTGGAAGAGCTATCATAATCTCAGTGGTAATTAAGCCATTACCATCTCTCTGCTATAATAAACTTGTCTTTAAGCTTTACCTGTAATCTGATAAAGAGAACTTCTTTTTGTGTGTGTGTGTGTTGCAGATTGATAATCTTGTGAAAGGAGCTTCGGGACAAGCGTTGCAGAATCTGAACATAATGTTGGGATTACCTGAAACAACCGGACTCCTAAACCAGCCGGTTTTCCCTTAAGAAGAGCATTTTTTAAACCGTAAAAACCACTTCTTTACTTCTGTCTTATGATTCAGAGGAACAATCTAAGCACCATGTGGCTGATACGACGACTGTGATATATAAGGCATAAACATTATAAACACTAAAGCCTTTTCTCTTACCATTTACAAACGAATGGTTTTATTGTTTGTTAGTCAAGTTGGAAATAAAAACGTTTTCTTTAGTTGAACATCAAATCTATGGCTGCAAATGGTTGTAAGTGAGAGGAATTAGATGAATAATTATTAGTGGAAAAAAATGAGTAGAATAATGTGTTTTTCCACTGATTTTTTTCAACTCATTCCTCTTGTATTTTGCAGAGTACTAAATTCCAGATGAACAAGTGTTATTTTTTTCTTTTTGTGTGGGACCCATCATAAGTTAGAAGAATGCAATTGAATGATAAATGGTGAATATTTAGAGGAATAGAGAGTAATTGATGTTTTCCTCTAGTTTTGTTCCTCTAACCTAACAACCATTTGCACCCTATATATATATAAAGTAGAATACACTCTCTTCTTATGCTGCTACATCATCAGCTCATATCTCTAAATTGTGACACATTATTTACTAAAAAACTATATTTTATGTCATTTTATCTTTTAAAATTTTATAACAACTAACATTCATTGAAATAATAATTTTAAATAGAAGTTGAAAAGTCATTTCTTCATAAAAGATAGCTTCTTACACATTTAAATTTAAGAAACTCTAATTTGATCATTTTAGTTTTATCAAATTCATTTATATAATTCAGACAAATATTTATTTCTAATTACATAAACATACATCAAAAAGTTTATTAATAATTTATATATTTTTCTTTATATGATTAGTAAAAATAGTAATGTTATTTAATTGACTTGGTAGATATGAATAGAAAACAAAAAAAAAGATTAAAATAGTCAAATTTAGATCCAATTTTCTCAAATATGTAAAATAACTTTTTGAATCTAAATTCATTTCAAAAAGTCAAAATGTACAAACAAATTTAAATGTTAAAATATAATAATATCATTATTTTATTCCAAAACTTTGAATTCTAAAACAACAGCATCATTTATCACACTAATTTGAATATTTTATGATGTTTAATCTGTTAAAAGACAAATATGAATATCTACTTAGTCTTATAATTGTAAAGTTTAGTATTTTTACCAGACTAAGAAAAGAGAGATGAAGATAGGAAGAGAGAGATATATTAAGAGAATATTGTATATATAATACATAAAAATGTTTATGAACAGAAAAAAAAGAAATAAAATCAATATTGTTAGTTGTATTTTTTGAAAAAATATTAAATGTTTATAAAAAAAAAATGTTGGATAATTGAACATCAGACTAAAATTTAGGAAAGAAATATTTATTAATTGTATAGATTAAGTTTTATATTATTGATCACAAACTGCTAATAGCTAAATAAATAAAATTTTTAAATTACTAAAAATATTCTTAACTATATTATTAAACGGTATACAAAATTCCGCACAAAGCGCAGATCACCCACTAGTCTAACTATGTATTAAAGTAGATATATTAGAGGTTAAATTTGCTGATTTGTCAATACTACAATTTTTCTCACCATTTACTTATTTAATTACTATTCTTATAGCCATATACTATTTTAGGCAACTAATAATTCTTTTACTGCAAAAATATATTCATTATCATTAATTAAAAATTAAATAAATATATATATCATTTTTGCATATAATAATATATCATATTTCTTAACTGTAATTTAAATTCTTTTTAATATAACATGATTAATAACTAATGTAGTCCACTAATATATAAATTTTATATTATAAAATTTTACAAACATATTTTAATATACCTAAATTACATATATAAATTCAATTAAAACAGAATGATTTAATCTTGTGCATAGCACGTAGTACCAACCTAGTACTTTTTCAAACCGAGAGTTAAACCCAAAAAATTATTAAAGATATATATTTATTTTCATCTAGAAATTATAGTAATGTTGTAAGTGATGATATAATTCACATAAACTACGAATATATATATAT